AAAAATGTTGTTGCAACATGTTGAGAAAACCACGTTATTTAAGGGAAAACAGGGTGTGTTTTGCCCGGGGTTATTGAGATGTCGACTTTGGCCCACGGCGGAATATGTGCCGTGGACCTAGTTACAAAACAAATCCATACAAGCCCAAACAAATCCATAAGCCAACATCTGCTAGGAGCTGCCTGCACTAAGCCCAAATTCTACAAAATTCCAAAGTACCAAACCTGATTTCTACAAAATGACCTACCCAAGCACAATCCCTCAACATGGCCCGCTAAGAAAACGAGACACACGCAGTCTCCACATCATGTTGTAGACCAAAATATGACCAAAATCAGCTTACTACAAAATAGGTTTACTGCAACATGTGTGCACCCAACCTGAGGCGTGACCCCTTTCACTCAAAAACACAAATCTGTTTCTAGGAAGGTCAACCCCTCCTTTTCTGCCGTCCCCATCATCTTTGACAAGTTTGGGGCCCAGAAGCCGGCAGCGAAGCGTCCCGGCGGTCCCGTCCTCAGTGCGTCCAGCTGCGGTGGCGAGACCACGCGGTCAGAGACCAACGGCGGCAGGCTGGCCCTGTGATGCAAGTGCCTCGGCGCACGGCGCTCTTTCAAGAGGAAACCAGAGGGACCACCGGTCGCAGTGACGGTTCATATTTTGACACTCTCCTTTTTAGGGAGGTTCATGGTGATCCCAAAATTGTTCAAGGGAAACGCCATGAACACTGTACCTATTTGGGAGAATCTCCTGCTTTAAGACAATCCCCATTTGGTCGAAGATCATTCCCCTGAGTCGGGCTCCGGGATCCACTCACTTGCCCCAGCAAGTAAAAGAGAAGCACGAGGCCAGACTCTCAGACTGCTGGATCTAGAAAGCTGAAAACAACAATTATCTTTCCTGTTATTAACGGAACATGAGGCCTGAGGCTTCTGAAGGACCATGTTCCTCCTAAGGACTCCTACAGGGACACTCGGCTGCCGTCTACGCACTTTGCAAGTGAGGGTGTCTTAGCCGACATCACCTTCTGGTTTGGTCAAAAAACGGTCCAAGCACTGCTTGCATTCCACTTACGCATAGGCTGGTGGAATCCCCACCTACGTGATGTCCACCAAGGGTTCCCCAATTAAAGCTCACACCCATATAAACCATTATAAACCCATACTATGAATGATCTTCCCAAAATGCTTAAACTCCAGAAACTGTTGCAAGTGAGAAGTCGAAGAGCTCAAATTCAAGGACCTGCCACACACACACACACACCATTGCCCAAGACTCATCGTCTTCCTACCCCCCTGCTCACACAGTTTTACTACCAACCTGATGAAGGCATGTAAAAGCACCTGCTCAAAGTGAACGCGGGTTTTTTGGCCCTCATCCGGGGCCGGGGCAGACCCTTCGTCCGTGTGCGGTCCAGTAGGCTGAGAGCCAACAGCCTCCCGCTCTTTCCGGGTTCAAAGTGAGCCTAGTTCACACAAATGGGTGCAAGACTGCTACCTCCTTTGCAAAAATCCCGGCTGTTGGAACCGATTGGAAGCCCTGGCGGTCAAGTTTTGGAAGCATGTGGCTCCTAGTTCACTGGCTCGGAGAACCCGACTTTTGCTGAGGGGGTTTGCGGGAGGGCAGCCCTATTTTCCCAACAACTGAGCGCCAGCATGCTAGCCCAGCATGGGGTCAGAGTGCAAACCACTGAAATTGTTCCTACAAACGGTCTAAGCCGACAAGCAAAGCCAGTGGGTTCACTGGCGTGGGCGGAGAGTGGGGCGGCCAAGCTGATGAAACCTGCTGAATGTCTCTTCAAACAGCCTCTCAGCTTCCCAGAGGGCCCAGTAACTTGCCCCAGCCTACCCACGCAGTGGAGGAAAACAATGTTCCCAAAGATCTGGCAAATCGTCTTCCCGGTGAGGTCGCTCAACAACAATCTTGAGGTATGGCTGTGTTTGTTTGGTTGAGGGCCAACAGGAGCATCTCAGACTCACTAAATGCTCTGTGGGTCCCATTTGGAGGTATTGGTTCTATGCACCGCTGGCGTCTATTGCCCGGCCTGTCGTCCCACATTTGCGGCCTCAGCCGCAGTCTGGGTCAAGAAACGTGGCCTTTCCTTAAGCTTTCCTTAAGCCAGGAAAACGCGTCCAAGCGCCACAATGTTTTCTTTGTACCCTGCTTCAGCTCGTTTTCCCAGGGCCGAACATCTAAAATATACCTTTTGAAGCGCACTTCATGGAGATAGAGGGCAAACAGATCCACGGAAGAGACGGGCTTTTGATGCCAGCAGGCTTTTCGACACAAAGTCTTCATGCTTTAACTTTGGCCATGGCATGGAGCCCAAAACCTGTTACCTGGCCTTCTTATTCACAGTTGGGCTTAGATGGTCATCCGTGCAAGTGACAGATCACCTGGCTCCCGCTTTGGCATGGTCGCCTTTTCTGACGCCGAGTGCATCGCGGCCCCTCCAGGATCCCGGGCACAACCTAGAATAAATGGTCCTGTGAGGTCCTGCGGATTGCACATGGCGCAAACTCGAAGATGCTTTGCTCTAGCCTTGAAGTCGAGACTTCCAAAAACCGTTTCCCCTACGCTTCCAGGGGACATGAAGCAAGTCCAACAAAAACTTGCTAAAAGGGACAGTCGAGTCTGGCAATGAAACAGGGAACGCCATTGACCAAATATATATATATATATATAGTTGAGCGACATCAGGACCTGCAGGAAAGAAACTCACAATGCTAAAAGCTATGCTCTGAACAGCAAGGATACCGGCCCGATTGGCCTTTCCCGGTGCGACGCCTGACGAGGAACCTCCTACCCCCCCTCCGCGTCCTCCGAGAACGATGGGGCTAGCAGCCTGCAAAAGCGCCAGTGTCCAGGATACAAAGCGGCAGGTCACGTTTACCAGGGTCCCTGAAAGGATTTGTTTCCACAACCACGAGATGCTCTCAATCAGCTGAAGGTGATTTTCCTTCATCTGAGCCAAATGCATCATCTTTGGTTGGACTCGGTTTTCGCCGACATGCCTAAACCATTTTTGAGGAGCTGTCCGAGCTTGCAAGGAGAAATGCCAGGCTCTTTGCCATGAACCGTGGTGCCCACTGCACTCTTTACCCTTCACCTATCTGTGGAGCCTTGTTGCTAAGACATCCTTGGCAGAACTTTTCCCACTGACCTTTCCCAGGTGGACCTTCTCTGGGGCACACTGGCGCGCTATGCTGTCGCCTCGGTGGCCTAGCAGATTGAATACACGCAGGACCTGGTCTGGTGACATGCCCTGGTGACCGACAATTGTAGTTGTTTTTTTCCCCTCCCACAGCTGAGTGCCAGCGTAGTGGATTGCTGGCATGCACGGACCTGGACAGTTGTCAACCTCACCTCAGATGCCCAATTTAACAAGCAAACCCGGCTTTAGCACCGCCTTGAACCGAGCCCAACATAGGGTAGGAGCTCCCGTAGCCTGGGGATGGTCCAACATTCAATTGCTGGGCAGCCATCTTTTTTGCCATCAGTTCTTCCCTGGCTAGCGAACCTAGAAGTGGCTCCGAAGTCGTGTACATGCAACACGTGGGTCCAGCTAGTACTTAAAATATTCTGCCGAACGACTCAGGAAGGTAAGTCAAACAAGACCCACTCGTCACTCCCAAAAATGCTGAAGCAGCTGCTAGATGTAACCTTTGACATGGCGAATCCATATGCCCCATACGCTCCCGTCAACAAACATAGAAGTGCGCACAACTTTCCTTCTGCAAAGCGAGCCGGTGCACGTCCTCGTTTAACCATTTGTTGGCGAATGTCACCAGCATTGAAGGTCGAAAAAGAGGCGGCGTTTCCCGCTGCCGCTCTCCCCGGCCTCTCCTCGCCCGCGGCATGGTTGGCCACCAAGTCACTAAGCACACTCAGAGCCAAGAGTCCGAAGCAAAGGTGGCTGTCGTTCCCTTACTTATTGCACTTGACGCCCATAGGGTCTCAATTCTTGGGACACTGAAAACATGATGAAAACTATGAGGAATGATGTCCTTGTTTGCCAACTGACTGATAACAACACCGAACAACCTTGGTCTTGCGTTCTAGGACACAGTTGTCTTTGATAGAATCCCACAGGTACCATTTGTCTTCCAGGGTCAAAGGGTAACTGGGTGAGGGTTTCTTCCCACCAACCTCCAAGTAGTCTGGAATCCTTACGCAAACCAATCTGGATGCTGTCGGATGCCGTTGGATGTTGGTAACCTGTTGGTTTGTCGCGTGGCCGGGGATAGAGACCCAACCGAAGAAAGTTGAGGATAGAACTCCCCCAGGAAATGAGCCGGCATAATTTGTGAGGTAGGGACTATGGGCTCCGAACGCATATGGACAGCCTTTGTTCCAGATTAGCTACAGGGGCGAACAAGAAAGCAGGGGATGAACACAGCATGGTGTCGATGCAATTTTTGGCTACCAAGGCGCAAACCTGAAGAACTAGGGTCGTGCGCAAAATCGAAGGGAAGCCACAACAAACATTCACATCCTCAACCGGTATGGTAATCTCCTCCCCCTATTAATGAATGACCCCCATTAATAATAAATGCAAATCCGGGGCCCGAGACCAGATGTCCACTCCGCACAATTGATTTTCCATTGCGCCAATACTAAACCAATACTAAAGTCTTGGAATCCTTATTAGGGGGCACTTTTAGCAAGCTTCCAGCCTCACTTTTCAAAAGGTGGGTTCCTCAATTCCCCAAAAGAAAACATGAGGTGTCCCTCAAAAGAAAACATGTCCCCAAAAGCTGTCTAGCTGCGACTGTCTCTCTCCCGTACATGCTGGCTAATTAACCTGCCTGGCTGCAAACAAACAACCAGTAAACTGGTAAACAAATAGAATGATACATCAAATTTCCTTATTAAACCGCTTACTCGCGGACCTTACAATTCAATCCATTTCCTCCAAATCCTATGTGAACCCTCACATTGTTGGAAAAACAAAAAACCAACCCCAAAAACCCCAATTAAAAAATATATATTTTTGGGTGGATTTATTTATAATAGGGGAGGGGGGGGGCCGTATTTATTAATAGGGGGAGCGGACTAATTTGGTGGCCTAGGCTTGAGGTTGCCGTAGAGAGCTTAGATAAGGGTTTCCTTTTTCTGTAGTCTATTTTAGTAGGGGAACCCTCCCAAGCAAAAAAGAAACGGTAAAGGGGCACCTAGCTGGGGGACCTAGAAAAGGATCGCCCGGCCGTGTTTTGCTCTTCAGGGACGCGCGCAAACCGTTGACCGTCACCTCCCCTTCGGCACGGCCCGGCACCTCGCCCACCACTGGGGCAAAGAGCTCCACCACCTCACGGTGGTGTGGGTCGAACAAAAAGGCCGCGCAACACAAAAAAATTCTCACTGAGTGGGGTAGGGGTGTTTTTTCCCTAAGGCAGGTGTTTGTCAAGGGCTGGCTTTCTGCTAGCAACATCACCAGCATCACCAGCCGACTTGGCGCGGAGGTTGGGTAGTGGCTCTGATTGGGAGGCAGTCGGGAGTTGCTGGGGGCTGGTTTAAGTTTGGCGGGGCGGGGGGGGTAAGCCAGCCCAAAGTGACAATTTCGAGGGGTCGCAGCTGGTTTCTTGGTAAGATGTTGCCAAATGTAGTGCCCTTAGGATCCGGGCGACTTTAGCTGCGGGAAAGGTCTACTTGGTGCAGACTTAGCATTGATGTTGCATTTGTCAGGCGGTTTGAAGGAGACCCGCGCAATGGACTCTCTTTCTGGGCCTCACCCCAGAGCCATCCTAAGAGCCCTTGACTAAAAGGCTGCAAGAAAAACAAAAACAAAACACATTTAAACCTTTGGCCGGAGGCCGGCTGAACATCAACCAAAGTTCCTCACTTCCTGAGCCCCGTTTCGGACCATTTTAGTGGTATATACATGAAAACATGAGATACGTTTTTGGGGCCAATCCACTAGGAAGGATCCGGAGTTGTTTTTTTCCCTATAGGTCTTGTTTCTACTAGGGCTGGGTTGGTTGGTTGGTTGGTTGGGTTGGGTTGGTTGGTTGGGTTGGGTTGGGGTCCATTGGAGGGACCGCCTCAAAGGGTTTCCATGAAGGCCATTGCCTTTGTCCCATCCTTTGCCTTTGACGCCAACTTTCCACGGTGGCCACTACCCCCCGCCCCCTTTTGGGCTTCCATTTCCTTAAGCCCCCTGGAAAACATTTTAGTGATAGATTCCCGTAAAAACCAACGCAAAATAAGACATCTTCTTAAGCAAATGGAAGTCCAATGGAAGTGGCCAAATGAAGGTGTCTCTTCTTGCTTTTGGTTTTCTTTTGAGGTGGTGGGTGGGGGATTTTTGGTTGAATTGTTCAAGGGAAACCAAAAGACAGCAACCATTCGAGTCTCCCTGATTCGGAGACACACCCATGCCATCCCCCCCGCTTTTTCGCGCTTCTCCGATATGCTACAAGCTCTGCCCCATCTGCTCGTCCTGGAAAAAAACGAGCTGGCGAGTACTTCGATTGCCGAAAGGCGCCACCGCTGGCCACCTTCAGTATTTGGTCGCCGTGATCGTGTGCTCTTGGTTCAACAGCAAGTCCAAGAATTGAAGCTGTCCACACTTTTGGTATAAGACATGGCTGTGGATCAAAAATAGGTACCCAAAATGGAACCCTGGCAAATGGAAACATGGACTAAAACCTGCGGTCCACTGTTGGTTTAATTTTGATTGAGTCCAGCTGTCATATTTCAACAGCACGTTTGTGTCCACACTTTTGGGTAAGACAATCGTATAAGTACCACGCAGGGATGGCCCGGTTCATGCAACAAAATGCGAAGGGCGCGGTTCCCAAACTCAGAGCTTCTGCTGATTGAATCGTTGCTTGGGATCATCGGCTTCTCGCAATGTCACGGCAGTGCTTTCCGGCTGACTTCGCACATTGGCGGAGAGCCAATGTGAAGCTCTCCGGCCATTCCCTGAACAGCGAGCCCTGACCATGAAGACCAGACTCCCCGACTCCCCAGACTGCTGAGGGGCGTTGCAAATTAACCTCTCAACATAACTCTTCAATGGTCATCGGTCACCTTGCGTCGCGTCTTTACACTTGGCGTGCCGGTGAAATGCCTTCGGCAGATTCCGGCAAGCGCACATAACATAAATGGGCACTCAGAAATGTTGGGACCCCTTAAGATGATTGGTTTCCTGCTTCCCAATTTGAATCAGCCACATGGGGTCCCCCATTTTGAGACAGGCTCAACTGGGTGTGCCAAGGTTTGCCAACATTGGTGCGCAACTCGCCCATAGACTAATAGATCCCATGGCAGGAAGACATGCTTAAGAAAATGGTTGGCCAACCCTGGTGTCCAAAACTCCTCGGACGAATGATTGGCTGGACAGGAAACCCTGGGGGTATAGGCAGACCCATGGCCTAGCCTTGGCAAAGACTGTCATGGCGATGATTCTGGGATTCTGCTGCACTTGGGATAACCACCCACAAGGCCTATTCCTGTTCGCCAAAGGGTCGCTAAACTCGTTTCGACAACCTGCACTCCCACGTCTTCCATGGCCTTGGCAAGAACACGCGGCTTTCACCTTGCACACCTTCCGACGGGGCATGTGGGTTGTTTGTTCGAAGTTGTGCTAGTCGTGTTGTTTGCAATGTAATTGAGCCAGCTTCAACTGGTTCCATACACAGGTAGCAAGGGCGGCTGTTTCTGTGTTGTTCAATCAGAGGGCTATCATGCAGAGGTCTCACCTTGCTGGCTTGGTTGAATGTACCTTGCTCTTTGTTCTGCCCACCTTCAGATGCTTTCATGAACGGGCTGGGTATGTGTTAAAATGGGTTTCAGGGTGGATTACCTTTTAAACCAACCTCAAAAAATGTACCTAAACAAGAATAACTACCCCGGCTGCACCTTGTTGAAAGGGTTTTGGGGTGCCTGCTTGCTTCACGCTGAGTCGTTGGAACGTCTCGCAAGCCCGCGGATTGTTCACAGTTCACGGCTCAACGAAGAGCAGAACCAACAGCAGTACAAACAAGTCTCACTACACAAGTTTTACCATGACTACGTAAAATCACATCGAATCAAAACCATGGCGAGTCTTGCATACCCAAATCATCTTCACGGCCCAAAAAGGCATTCCGATGCACTCCATGGGGGAAATGGCCATGATCGGCAAGGATTCATCCGCAACCCGTCGGCTTGCTGCTCGCCCCCGATGCAATGTGTCTCCTCCCTGTGCGTGCCAAACTGAGAATTCCAAGTGGAAATGCTGGGAAGCCGGACAGTTGTAGGGGAAGTTTGATAGCATTGATCATGGAACATGGTGAAACGCCGTCGCACGAAACCGCAAAGACACAAGATGGATGTCCAATCATAGGCAGTCCAACCCAAAAAACACATCACTCACGCACACATGCAAACATACACCGGCACAAAGAAACAAACACGACAAAACAAACACGCACTCAATGCGGCCCATTGTCGCAGTCTCCTCCCAGATCCTCCCAAAGCCTCTACGCTTGCCGAGGCTCTTTGCTGGCAAAGTCCGTCAGCGCCTTTCCCTGTCAAACCTGAGAGTAACATGAGCAGTTGCGGCCAGTGCCCAACACTGTTGTCACGCGAATGGGGTTGGCTCATTGTCATAGGCAAGCGTCACAGATTCAAAGTTTCTGGGTATTCCTCGAGTAGAGCCTGCCATGATCGGCTTCGCCGGATCATACCGCACGAAGGGCGGGCCTTGCTGCTCCTGGACACACATTTGAAGCAACTGCCATCTCCAACTGATGTTGGTCCCAGCCTGAGACCCAATCCTCTGGTCAACAAGACTGGCAAGGCGAACGCTGCCTTGTGAACCCTTCGAGCTGCAAATCCAAGTGGCCTCTTTTCTCGTTTGGCTTTCCAGCAAACAGAACGTCACACCCGTGGCTTTCCAGCAAACAAGTTGATATCTCTAACAAGTACCGAGTCTAGAAACTTGGCAGTGAGACAGTCATCAAAGCTGAAACGCAAAGTGCCTAAAACGCCCCAGGAAATGCCCGCGGACATCCGTGAGGGATGCTGTGAAGCATCTCCCTGAAACACCCCCAAGCAAACGCGGCAAAGGAATTCAGGCGAAAGCCCTTCGAAAAAAGGCCGCAGGAAGCCGCTGCTGAATTTGGGCGAAATGCCATGGCTTGGGCTTGATGTCTGATTCATGGTTCCTCCCAAATAGCTTCCCCCAGGGGGGGGGGTTGGATTGGTTTGGAGGTCACCTTCCCTTTGGCTTCAAAAAGGAACCGGGGGTCAAACCACGAAACCACTCCAAACCATTCATTGAGGGTACTTGATCAAAGGCGCCTTGAGGATCCAGGAAAACGTGTATATATATATATATATATATATGTGTGTGTGTGTGTGCGTGTGTGCAACGGCTAGGGTTATTCGTGTGGCTGCAGCAAGCCTTAGCCATGCCTAGCGGGCCACAGACTTGCTTGCCGCCTAAGCCAATTAAACGGCCTCTCTGAGCCAAGCAAGGAAAAGATGCCCTGACCCGTTCAAAAGAGCCTGGATCAAACAAAAACTAAGCCCAAATGATATCGCAACAGCCTCAGAACCTCCGGAACCCTTTGGATCCTTCTGCCCCGAACCACTCCAGAGTTCATTTGGGCAGAGATACCAAAGCTCCCAGAGGCTGGGGAACAATGCATTCACTGGCTTGTGGCAAGCCGGCTTCAAGCCTTGGCGGTGCTTTCTACTTCGTCTGTTTGGACCTTTCCTTTCTCCTTTCAGGGGTTCGCAAAAGAAAACTTGGATCTATGTATCTGGTACGTCTCAATGATTTGCAACAAAATCAGGTCAGCCCGGCGTGCTATGCAGACACAGTACGAGCAGCACAAACGAAATACTGAATCCTTCCCAGAGATCTTAGTGGCCAGGGAAAAACAGGCACTTTACTTTGGTCGTTGCCTCGAAAGGGAAGCCCCCTGAAGTCGCAACGGGAGATCGGGGGTTGCAGGGTTTCAGGGTTCCGGGTGGGGCAGTCCTTAAGCACCTCCTTGTCCCCGCAGTCTTTGAACCAGTCGTAGCGCTTGTCAAACCTGCAACGGTGAGGTCGGGAAGCAAGAAGATCCTGATTATTCCTTGAGTTGTGTTAGCTTCCTTGGGGTTCCTGCGGGTTCCTGATGGGTTTTCTGGGGTTCCTGGGGCTTCCTTGGGGGTTGCGGGGGGGGGGGTGGTTCTTGGCGCTTGCAGGATGCTGGCGCGGTGCCAGGTTTTAGCTTGGTTTCCCGGTTTCCCTCTCTTTTTCCCAGGGCGACTGGTCGCTGGCCTCTGATCAAAGCGCGTGCACCTCATGCCCTCAACGCAGCCCAGAAACAGTCTCACGTTGGGGAAGCTTGCCGTTGAGTTGGTGGTTCGATGTTGCTGGTTGTGTCCAAATCAATGGTAGCTTTCAGGTTGTCCGTCTCCCAATTCCGATTGTTGGCCTAGTCCTGAATCAATGGACATCAAAACCTTGCCCAGAGCTGGCCAGAGAAAATGTTGCGATACATCTGCCGGATTGCCTTGGGCATTGAACATCCTACAGCGCTGCCGTCGTCTTGTGGATTTTGGGCGGCCACTGACCGTGGTGCACCACGTAGATGGATCGTAATATATAGAAATATATATATATATATATGTGTGTGTATGTATATCTGTGGCCATACGCATAAAATTCCTGCATAGTGGAACATATGTGTACATACACCCAAAACTATGTTCAAACTGAAAATTCAGGAGTTCCACGACAAACCTGGCAGGAAAGGACACCTTTACCTAGCCCCACCCCTCCCCCAGAAAAGCGGTCTTACTCCGGCCAAGAGGCTGTTCGCAAACCATCCTTAGCTCAGCGCATCATGCAGGGATTGGTTTGTTGACTTCTCAATATTTGGCTGGGGTTTGGCTGGGGCCCATAGCAAAATCAAGACCACCCCTGTTCTCAGAGCGACATTCCATACCAGTCGTCACTTCGACTTCGGCAAATGGCGCATCTTTACTGAAATCAAACCCAAGAATCAGCATATGTGAGGGGTCTGAAGAGACCATGTCTGCCGTCCATGGCAAGTTTGCCACCCTGCCCCAGAATCTTGTGACACGAACTTGGGCCTGTCTTTTTGTACACTCTTTTTGGGTTGGCAAGGGAAAGGAACAGGAGCACACCCTTTGTACCCCGATGTTGAGACACTTCCCCAGTGGCCGGGGCTCCGGTGCCCGTAGTGCTTCATCGCTGGATCCCGGCCGAGCTCCACATCCGTCATGAGCCGCCTCAAATTCCTGCGGCCGCCCATTGCAGCCACGAAAGGCCCGCTGGGATGCTCAAGCAACTTGCAAAGGGGCCCGGTGTTTTCCCTTAGCCGTGGTTGCAGCTTGCCTAACCTCCCACCAACTAACCTGGAAGCGCGGACTTTCCAGGAGGAATGTAGTCTTTTTCCACTTTGCACTTCCATGTGTCGGTGGGAGGGTACTAAGTAGCTTTGAACATTCAAGTGGGGGCGAATGGTCTGCAGTCAGCTTTTGAGTTTTCCCATTTGAATCCCAGATGTGGCCGAACCAGGGCGAACCAGAACCAGGGCACGCGGGCCAAGCATATCCAAGCACAGACCTCGGGCAGATCGCAGGTGAACTATGGGGCTTCCAACATCCTAAATTGCGCATGGGGTATCCACAAATGACAGGAACTAGTTGTCTCACTATCACCCTTGAGCCCATTCAACTTGCTTGCTTCTTAGGGAAACCGACTGGTGACTGAGCCCTTCCAATCAGAATTGCGCCCCTTCTTGGGCCATGGTGAGAGCAATCAAGGACAACCATTTGAATCTGGGACTGGGTGTTTGTTGGTTGCTTGGAACTCGCTGACTTGGTTCTGCTGTACAGTACCATTTGTTTCATTGTTTGGTTGCGTAGAGTCATTTCTCATAAAATCTTACCCGAATCAGATGCAACAAACCATCGAAGTTGCATTCTTCATGACCGAAACCCCCTCCCTCGGCCTATCCAGCTCCTCACGCCACTGCAGCCTCCTTTGGAGCTCCTTGGCTCATGGCCATCGCGAAGAAAGAGGCGGGCATAGAAAACCGACGCACCCAAAATGGCCGCTGGTTCCCGCTTGCTTTGCCTTCCCTTTGAACCAATTGGCCATCACCGTTTTGTCCACGCGCTTACAGTGAACATCGTTGAACTGTCACTCCTGGAACCAGCTCCTTGGCTCCCTCAAAACCGCCAAACATCTGGACCCCTCGCTGGCTCTATGCCTCACTTCCTGAGCGGATTGGTCGGATTGGCCTCAAACAAAGTATAAAAGGTCCTAAAAAAAAAAACACAAGCAAACACCCAAAAGAAAATAAAGACAAACCCATCCATGTTTTATTTGTTCAAATGCCTACAGGAACAGGTCCAAACGCCCCTCCCCAAGTTGACGCCGAAGGGCCGCCTCTTTGCCCAGCATCCGCGCCCTGGGCACCTCGCTGGGCCTGGCGCGGTAAGACGTCGGATCCGAAGAAGGAAAAAAAAAAACGGGCGCCCGGCTTTTTTGTTTTTTCCCCAACAGCTGAAAGCTTTGGGGTCTCAGCCCAGATAGGCTCCGGGGTGGTCTGAGGTAAGGTTCCACGAGGGTTCCACGAGGGTTCCACGAGGGTTCCACGAGGATCTGCGAGGGCTGCGGGGTGGTGCGAGCACTAAAAAGAGCACCGCATGCTGTTGGGGATATCACCTCAGGTTTTTTTCTCGAAGACACCCAACTCAGTTGGCAGTCCAAAACATGTACCAAAATGGCACCCTGGTAAATGGAAGAACCTTCCAGGGGTTGATTCCTTTGCCATTCTTCTCAACCATCGTTCTTTTCAAAAACCGGCCGTTCTCCCTGAGTTGCCGGAGGTCCTCTAGAAAGAAGGATCCCTGGAAAGAGTGGGGAAGGTACCCCTAGAAACCTGGCAAGAACGTGTCTGGAAAAATGGGCCCAAATTCCGTGCGGGGAGGGAATGGGGAATTACTCCCCGCAATTTTGGTGGTTTCCCCTTCGTTGGTGCAACCGGAGAAAGGTAACTAACAGATATGCCCAGGGTTCAAAGCTGTGACCCCCAAATCCAGGTAAGCGACGCCCTGAGAGGGGAGAAACCACAAACAAAATGCTCTTGGCAGCTTGGCATAAACTCAACGTGGTGCCGTGATGCCAAGTGCAGAGTGGTACTCCCGAAGAAGCTACTATAGAGGAAACTCAATGGGGCCGTGCTGCGCAAACATGATCCACATTCAAGCTACAGGTATCTGTGCGTGATTGTCCAAATCGGGCACCCTTTTGGTTGCCTTTGATCTGTTGAAGAGACTCCAAAGGAAACCGACCAGTTGCGGTCTATGTTTCTAAGATGGCTGTGGGTCAAAGACATAGACAAAATGGCACCTTGGTAAATGGAACCAAAGACTACAACCTGCGTAACCCCAGCTCTTTAATTTTGAGCCACAACCATTTAGGGCCACCCTGCGGCACCTGCACCCTCCATTTAGGTGAGCTCTGGGTCCCATGTGGGATCAATATCTTAACCCGGAGGCTTGCGAACTTGTTGGGATGTTTTTTTGCATGTGTTTCTTTTTTGTTGCCTAAAGAAAAACAAACAACGTTTATTTATTTATTTATTAAAAAAAAAATGCGGCCCCCCCTCAGGTGGAAACCACGTCTCGCGGCGTATCGCCTGGACGGGCTGCTCTGAGACCCCGCTGAGGGGCTCGTCGGGCCCTGCACGAAGCTCGTGCCGGTGATCACGCTGCCGGTGATGGCGAACCTCTGCGCGGCGTGTTCCGCCTTTCCGGCTGCGCCCAAGGCGCAAAAAGCTGGAACCTGCACGGAACCATGGAACTGCGCGGAACCTGCGCGGAAACTGTGCCAAAAGCAACCCAAGCCTAGGTTTCGACCCCAAAGCTGTCGCTCCCAAAGAATAAAGCATACATTGCCTCTCCCCCCAAAAGAAAAACATACGGTTTGGGCAATATGAAATGTGCTTTTGAAATCTGAACCATCAAGTGCTGTATACCCTACTGGCCCGAGTTTTGCAATGGCCCGCTCCAATTCAAGACCATGGACTTGTTTGCCCGCCACCTGGATGGGCTTGCCAAACTGCATGGTAAGCTGGGAAAATCCTGAAATGATCTCTCTCCAGCTTTAGGGGAAGCTCCAAAACCCAAGTTATCTTGCAGCTACGCGATCCTGCGGCGGCGAAAAAACCTCTTGGCCCAAGAATGGTTAGGGGTGGGGGTGAGTCTGATGCCAACTGACGCCAGGGCGAACTGACCAACAGTTCCGATGCTGAAACTGAACAAGTGGCTGTGGCTCAAAAACCCGGTACAATGAAACCTAAGTGGAAACACCACAACCTGCGGCTTGCCCCTCCACCCGCACCCCCAGTGAACATCCCAATCACCACTAAAATATAGCCTTTTTGTGGGATGGTGAATTCACCTACCCCAAAATCATCCCATTGGCTTTGAGCCAAGTCAGCCATTCCCAGCTGCATCCAAGCCGCCGTGGGGACGTCGGAAAGCTCCTGGCCACGCCGGCCACGAGCTAAGCACGGGATGCGCACTTTAAACCAATGCGCCTCCCGATGCTTCCCAACGCGTAGGTGTCCTTTTTCTAAGGCGAATCGGCCTTTGGGTCTCACTCATACCAAGCTCTTTCTGCGGATGTTGCCTGTACAAAACCAAGGTTCTAAAGCACGACCATGGCAATACGAAAACCGCGACACCCAACCACAAGCAGTATACCAAGGCCAATCAAATTGTCATGCTATGTTTTTCCTTAAGGGGGGGAGATTGGCTTAGCCATGGCAAGATAAGCCTTCGGTGCCATGATTGGATGGATGCACTTGGACGGACTTGTCGCCGATGGTCTCGGCCAGGAAATTATTTTGGGAGACCCTCTGAAAAGGGTCTCAGGTTAGTCTGGAGGGTACAGCACAGCGGTGTCCACTCAAATGATCTGCGGGCCCGGGCTCCAGCCGTACAAATCCCAGCCTGGGCCCTTCCGAGCAGAGCGATCTGGGTGTATCCTCGCTCCTCGCCTGGCGCAAGTTCGACGGCCCGCGCTTTTTAGGCATGAAGCCCAATGGTCTCAAGCTGCCGCAGCTCTTCCCGGTTCTTCTGGTCCTTACCTAGTGAACCTGGGAATGCACCTTAGTTGTAAACAAATATATCCCAGAACATCCATGGGAGCAAAAGGCTTGGAAGCCACGAAGTGCTAGTTAATTACAAGGTTTGAGCTTCTCGCATCGGCACCGGAAAGGCCGATGGTGCTAAGATGTCATCGTGGCTTGGGGGCCCCTCTGACGCCAACCCAATGAAGGGCTGAAAAGGAAATCCCCCGGTCGCACCAAACACCCCGCACACGTCTCTCAGAAAAAGGCCGACAGCGCCAAAGGCAACAAGCCAAGCAAACACAGCAGAATCTTGCAACACCAACCCTATGTTGACTTCCATACGTGGTGGGTGGTAAGAGATGGCAGTGATGGCATTTCTTTCCAGACGTGGGGGGGTCCTGATAGTCTGCAATTCGCGCCGTCGCATGGCTCAAGAGTTGTCAAGCTCGCTTTTGAACAAACCAGAGACGCTGACTAAATTACAAATGCCACATAGCGACTATCCCAGGGCAGAGTTTACCTTTCCCAAGAATCAACTTTGTGAAAACAAGGCCTAAGTAAGGAGCCCCCCCCAAACAAAAGCTGCGGATGTACTCATAGCAGTCGCTGTTGGGGCGATAAACGCACATATGTCCTTTACCTCTGGAGTCTTAATGATTTAATGGTTGTTCCAGATGGGGGGGCTAATGCTAATCCGATGGAAGCCGCTACATTTTTCTTTTGAACAACCTAGTGTTGTGTCTTCGAGGCTGGGCACCCTTTTGTGGCTTAGTTTAGAGGAAGGCCAACAAACAACCAAACAAATACATCTGCTTTTTTGAGGTACCCTGTTTTTGGGTTGGTTTAGAGGAACTTCTTTTGGAGGGTCACCCTGCTTTGACACCTTCCGTGCAGTCCGATTGACCCATCGATTCGGAAGCGACCGCCTCTTGCGCCAGCTTCCTGGCCCGCGTTTCCATCATGTCAATACCATCCTGCGATACGGAGAAGCGGAGCATCGACGAATCGAATCGCGCGCGAGTGAAGGCCAAAGGAAACACTCAGAGAACCAGATGTACCACGCAAGACATCAGCAAACACATGTGCCCATCAGCACGTTCCCGCGCCGAGCGGCTCAAGAAACTGAAGAACCAATTTGGGAAGCTGATTTTCCACCGGGCTCCTTTGTTGGTTCATTAAGCCCATGGAATCTCTTGCGCAAGGCTGGCCCACTTGCAGCCAAGAAAGGTTTCAGACAGGGAAAAGCGATTCACAACTGAGCCTTTGTGAGAGCAGATGATCGGAACGAGTTCTGCACATAAGCAATTGTTTGGAGCTTGGAAACGGAACGTCGAACAGCCTTTCGCAAATTACTGCAGGATGAATAAACCCCTTTTGATTCATACTGGGTGTTCGCTTGAGAGAATCCGATCTTCACTTTCGGGCACAACGCTTGCTTTTGGATTCTGGGGATTCCCTTTCACCGAAAGTGGGCCTAAAGCCATTTAATTTCCCCGAACAAACCCCAGAAAGGCGTGGTTGCTCTTTGTTAAGCTGGACGTTGTCTTTTGTCTTGATGACTCCTTTGTCAACGGGCCGCTTGTGCAGCACTTCGACATGAACATGAAGTGCAGTTGTTTGCTCATCGTCATGCCTCCATTGGAGGAGTACCGTTTCAAGTTCTGCTGACGCTTCAGAGTTCCTATACCACATGATTCAAACGTTGCATGGGGAACTGCTCGGAAGAAAAGCTCACGATCGGCTTGCGTTGGGGCGTCGCAACCTGTCCCTGCGATTGCGAGACGATGGGTTGGCCCGATCGCACTGCACTCCCGCGTCCCAACATGGAAGCTCCCCCAATTGGCCTCCGTAAATGGAACCAAGTCTTCCAACGGGGTGAGGTCCTGACAGCTTCCATGTTCCTCTGGGGGAGGGTAGGTGACGTGGCACCCCTCAATCCGCCTAACAGCCATAGCCACAGGCCCCCAAGCCCCCAGGTCCTTGCGCGGGGATTCCTCCCGGGTGTTTCCAACCAGGCGCTCCTCGCCAAGCAAAGCTGGCGCCATTTTTTTACCACTATCAAAGTCACCCAAGTGGTGGTTTAAAGGGAAACCTCCCCAGTTTCTGACTTCATAACCCCTAGAAATAGTCAAAATAATGACCCCAGCAAAGGGCCAGATGGACAAAACGATTTCACAGTGGGGATAGATGAGCCAACACATTCGGAAACTTCCGCCACCAACGTGCTACCAACTGGTGCAGGTGACATGATGGGTTTCTGAAAAAAAACACATTTCATGCTTTCATGGTTTCTCCGAAATCTCTTTTAACATGTTGACCATTCCTACCCCGCCCTATGATGTTTTAACCATGGCATATGGTCACTGCATAGGATCCCTTCGCCTGGGATGAATGCCCATATGTTCCCAGACCCCACCAATTTTTGCTGGCCACTAGGGAATGAGGAAGCATCCCTTGTAGTTTCATTTGAGGCTGGGCAGGGCCAAGCCATGTTGAAATCATGTGAAACCCACCATTGTTGTAACAACCGACCTTGTTGTAAAGGCATCATAACGCCATTGTTGTAGAAACCAGTGTAAAACCACAATGGTTTAACCATTGTAAAGCCAACATTGTTAAACATGGTAGAACACCTTTTGCTGTTCCCTTTCAATACAACTGCCATGGGAACGTACCCAGAACTGCGAGACCGAAATGGGCAATCGCTTGACACATTTTGAGTCACTTTCATAGGCGGTTGCTTGGTAGAGGCAGTGACCTTAAATTCTTCACCCAGGTTGCCCGCACGATGTTGTTTAAACAATGGTTGCCCCATGCTGGTGACGCTTTGTGCTTGGCCCGCCTGGCGCAGAGAAAGCCACTTTCAGAGTCCAATCATATTTAGTCTACCCCAAAAACACACTTTTTCAGTTGTCCCTTCCCCTTCCAATCGGCCAAATGGGCCAAGAAATGGCCAGGCGTACATCCGGTAGCAACTTGTGAAAAAAATAGGAGGGTCTGTCTGCAAATTGGGAGACCTTAAACATGGTTGGCTTCTTTTTGGGTTTTTTCTTCTTCTTCTCTTTTTTTTTAATTAACCCCTCTTCTTGAGGGTACCCTTGTCGGTTGGTTTGTTTGAAGGGGCAGCCAGAAGGAAACCAACCAATTCGGGGGCACCTTGCAAAACACGCATTCGGGCAAAGAGACCCATCCTGGTGCAGGTGGCTGGTGAGGAAGTGGCTCATCTCGTGAAACTTCGGATCCCCGGAGATCGCCACGTCCTTCCTTGAATGAGTTCATGTCTTGTTATCATTCTTATTGGGGGGGTTAACATACATTCTAGGGGTTGATTCCCCATTCTTTTCAACCATCGTTCTTTTTAAAAGCCGTTTCCCTGGGTGTCTGAAAGTTTTCTAGAAAGAAGGATTCTGGGAAAGAATGGGGAAGGTACTCCTAGATACATGCAAACAGGTAAACACCCACACACGCACACACACACACACACACACGCACACAAATATGCTGTTTATACAATATGTATACGCGCAAATGCACAGATCCCAAACGTTGTGCAGAAACACAAAGATGTGTACATGTGTATGTGCACATCTATATAAAGCTTTATTTGTGTATCTTGTGCATTTATTTATATATTTAGTTGTTTATGTGTTTATCCCGATCGTTGTGCCTGGCAGGACTCTACATGCATATCACGTATTGCAATCATATATGCACAGTATGTGTATATAGATAATATACAAATATAAATAATTATATAGATATTCTTTTGTCCTGGCCCAAACATAGGACGCGCACAACATGTTCTGGTCCGTATTTAGTCCACCCTTAACCCAAAGCAAAAACAAATTGAGGAGCCCCTTCTACCTTCCTAAAACACATGGTGCAGAATATATGTGCTCTTGTCGCTTCCTTTGAGGGAAAATGGCTGTTCAGCACGCAGTACTTCATGCCCATTTGTCTGGAACCACACCATTTCACAATTTTTAATGAACAAAGCCATCCAGCAAAACACACACACACACACATGCCTAGCTGGCGGGGCACATGGACCCTGCCCCTTTGTTTGTTTGCTCGTGTTGTCTTGATGGGTGGCAAACCAAAACTTGCCGAGTTACTGATCCCCCCCCCCAGGAAAAAGAAAAAAGAAACGCCCGCTGCCTCGAAGTCTCTCAGGAACCCGAATTCAATTCTTCGCAGACCCCGGGCAAACCCCGGTGGACGATAGGCGCTTCGCCAGGATGGGTCAGCCAAATCCCCATGCTCGTCTTGGTTGACGGATGGTTTCCTTGCCTACCTTGCAAAACCGGGGAAATGGAACTGGGAAAGGTGGGTCCAAGGACATACACCTCCGCATGTAAGTCTGAGAAAATCCCATAGAACTTTCATCGAACTCTTGAAAGGGCATGATTGGCGAGTCAGCTTGAGAGGGACCCATGTTCAAAGGGCATCGAACTCTTGAGAGGGACCCATGTTTGTCCCATCTTCGAGACATGTGGAAAGCTAGTACCCGTCCAGTTCTTATTGTTTGGGCCTAGTCTCACTATGTCTCACTTCCTGAGCGCACTGGCCAAACGGCAGTCCAAACACGTGGTCTACCACTCAAAAGGTCTTCCCAAAAATGATTTTCAAGCCCAGGAACTCAGGAAGTGAGTGGTACAGCCTCACATCGCATGACCCCCAGAAGGAACCTGTGACGCGCTGGGCCCTTGGGCCCCCCCAATCAATTAATCCCAAGGCGCTGCCGGTAGGAGGAGGTCACTGGCGTCAAGGGCTTGAAGTACTTGTCGCTCCACTGGGCGATTTGAACCGCCGCCTGTGCCACCTATGCCGGCGCCACCCCGAGCACCCGGGCCAAATGTGCGCGCAAACCAGTACAACCATGGTCTTTCTGAAATTCGAAGCACTCTATTCACTTGTGCTTTCAAATAGGCACAGACCCCCACACCCGAGAAGGGAAAAACCTGCCGTCAGTCACCACCTCCCCAAACTTGGTAAAGATAGACAGTTCTGGAAGAGCGAGGGAGTGGCTGGGTCCCAGTTGCCCTTCCCTCTGAGACTGGCCAGCAAGGCTCAACCACTTTTTGCGGCGGACTGCGATGGCGAAACCTGGCAGAAGCTTTGACTTTCCGCCAGCCTCAGGAAGCTCAGCTCCCTCTGTGTCTCCATCCATCGCACCCGCGGCACCCGCGCACGAGCAGGGCAGCACAAGTGGCCCGAGAGCCAAACTCAAAGCCCGGCCATGACAAACGGAGCCAAACTCCTGCAGCTTGCGAGTATAACTGGGCACATTTGGAAGCTGTGTAGTACGATGCCAATCTCCACAATCCAAGGTCGCCAACCACGTGCCCCCTTGGTCCGACTTGATTTGAAACTCATCTGTCCGCGGCTTCCTTGTGGGAAAGCCACAACTGTGGGCTACTGGCACATACTGGAACCATCTGGAACCCATGTCGCAATTTTCGGATCTGCATCACTCTGCATCGGTCCGCGGATTCAAGCCACGGAATGCACCTTCGCTTTGAGCTCAGCCGGGTCTGCCGAAGGATGGACTCCAAAGGCCCGCAATTCACCGATCCAAACCACCAGCCTCACGGGGTTTTATCTGGTTCGAAATCACCGCCCTCAGTGGTAGGTTAAAAGGAACACAACGCAATTCTCTAACTTCTTACAAAACCCGAGGTCAAACTCATGATGTTTTTTCGGAAGTGCTCCAAACCAACCTTTCAGCTTAACTCCCCTGCCAAAACCTGTGAGTTGAGCATCCGGCCGCTTCAGCCTCAAATGATGTTGCGAACTGCCGTACCAAAACATCGGAGCCGCTCCGAACCCTTCAGGTGAGCTTCTCAGCTTCGGTCCAGCCACAAGCAATTCCAAGCAAAGGCCGCAACTAAGAAATGCGGATGTGGCAATGAAAGGCTTGTCGCTACATGGCACCTCACGAAGGCAAGTCTGGTAATTTAGACCATTTCCTGGAAGGAGCCGTGTGAAGCAATGGGATCCACCCGTCACCGCCGTAACCCACCCTCCAAAGACCGTAACGCAAGGGGAGGGTGGCAGGTTGCATCTCCACCCTCGAAAGGTTCTGCACCTGAGGCTCCCCAACGTAGGGTTGCTGCTGGCCAAGCGCTGGGGCCTGCAGGCGTGTGTGTGTGTGTGTGTCAAAAGCGATCTGCTCCCAACATCCATTGAGGTATGATCGTTTCCATGCAATGTCCACTTTCTGGATACACAAGCCTACAAGCTGATCTGGAATTGGCTGGACTGCCTCAGTCTGTACCGAGAAAACATCCCGAAGAGCACCAGCAAGTTGAAGGAGACCCATTTTGGAAGCGCGGCACTTTCTTGTTTTCCCCCTTTTGAGTGTGGGCTAAACATAGTTATCGTTGGCGCTTGGGTGGGAGTTGGGATTTGTCGAACAGTTGGAGGCTCGCAAAGTCCGGAAAAATGGGCACTTTGGGTCGCCGTGGCTTCACGTGGTTGCCAAGACTTGCCAAGGTCGGGGTGCGTGTGGCTTTTAGGAAAAAAAGAGGGGTTTTAAATGCCCTTGATTCTGTATTGTACAATCCTTTGGACGCGTGAAGGAGTGATAAGGAGTGTCTCCAGGAATTCGAACCCTGGACAAAAAGCGGATGTGCTCCAATGAAGACCGCTTCAAAAGCACAACCCCTGAGACGCAACGCCCAAACTCCCCCCGGGCCTCAAGAATTGTGCCAACCAGCTGGTCTTTCCACGCCTGGCAGGCCACGTCCGTGACACCCAGCACACCGCCCATCCGTGTCACCCACGTTGAAAAGTGATCCGGGCTCCCACTCAAAGGAACCACCCCAAATGAAAATCAACCAGGGGTTTTCCCTCTACAATCATGGAAGTGGATCCTCCGTGGTGGCAAAAAAAACGACCCAAATTCTGCGCCTGCAGCTCTGGTCCCAGCTCCACCTTGCCGCTGCAACAGGTCTGACCCCTGTGGGAACCAAACAATATGTTGTTTTTTTCTTGTTGGTGTCCAGTGCTGACTCTCTTTCTGGAAAATAAATTGGGAAGCATGATCCATCACTGGTTGAGTTGAAATTGGCTATTTAGCACGCAGTTGTTCCCAAAGGCGCGCTCGCGACTGGGGCTCGCAACAAGCCAATTGAAGGCCAGGGAAAAGGTGCTCGAAAATTGCTGGGGGTGGGGGGGGGCTCCAAGCAGACCGATGCCCCAGGGGCCTGGGGGTCATGTGTCGAAAGTTGAACTTAGCCTAACGACGCTTCACGAGTTCAACATCGCAACATCCCGCAAATTACGATGCTGTCGCCGGTGCGGGCCCTTCGGGCCCTTGTGCTGGTCAGACAAACATGGAAGTCGCTCATCTCAGCGGAGACCCCCCAGCAGCTGAGCACACGGTTTTTCCTAAGTTTGCCCCAGCATCCAACGCCCAGGCTGCACAACGAGGGCTATTGCAAGAGACACGGGATCATCTCCATGGTGCTTTCCCTCGCTCATGGCATCGAAGCTATGGGGAAGGCTACGTGCTAGCAATTTCCCCCCACCAAGTGTCTGGCGGGACAGCTGCCCGCTTCACAAAACTTCCTGGGTCAACTTGGTAGTTCATGGACCAATCACAGAAACTCAAGCTCTCTTCGTACTTCACGCTACTTCACGCTACTGCACGGTACCGTGGGTACGCCATGCCAGCTGCTACATTCACGTGGGTTCGTGAGCATGTTGTTGCAACCATTTCGTATGAAATGTGTCATATTTGTTCAGGCATGACATTGCAAAGTAACTTTCTGGCCCGGACAGGTCCAAGGACCACCTTCAAATAGGATGTTGGACAACAGCCCTATTGAACACCGAGACTGCGCCACATGCCAAGGAAGGCATTTGTTAAGTACCCGCATTGTTTTTCAGGGCAATCCGTGAAGTTGCCCCAGCCCACTGTGGGGAAGACCCGGGACCAACCGGAGCCTACCCGGGACTCGGGCCTTTTGGAGCAAGACCCGGTCGCCCACCTGCGCAACTCCGCACCGGTTGGAAGGTTACGCACGGGAGTCATGTCATGGCTGCTTATCCTGACCTACAAACCAGGGAGTTGTGCGGTTTCTGACGATATGGTGAAAAAAGGTTTACATTACCATAAGATCCATGAGACTCGGAAGGACGCACCAACTAAAATGGCGAAGCTGCATTGCATGGGTGTCGACAAACAGCGTTCTCAAGGCCAAAGCCAAATTCTTGCCAAAATTCAAATGGACCTAGAAACAACCTTCCCAGTGTGTGCAGTTTTACCAACATAGTAGGTACACCTAGTAAAAATACTTAGTTCTCTCGAACACTTTTGTACCTGGAAGCACTGGGTTGCGTCATGGCCGCCAACAAATGGCACGCCAGCTTGAACATAAAGTGGCGCAACCAAAGCTCACCGATTTCTTTGGTGCCTCGAATTTTCCCCAGCCTCGAAGCTTGAATTCGATGCGAAGGCGGCCTGCGAAGACACGCTTACAGATTTGGAATGGTGAACCTTTTAAGCTAAAAATGGACACGAAGTTCCAGAAGTCGATTCGAGGGAGTTGCGAAGGGAAACCTCACACTTTTGCACAGCCGCAAAGGTCTGGCAAACTCCGAACAAAAAGCACAAGGCCGCCGCCAGTGCTGCATGCTATGCGAGAAGGCACGGCTAGCCGGTTCTTTTTCAGAGCTGTGACAAGGAGGCGCCACAACAGGGATAATAGCCAACAAAGATGCCCGTCGGAATGTTCCAAATACATCAGTATTTGACTTGCTGATTGTCCAGGGTTCTCCTTTTGGAAACTGGCCACTCTCAGTCGCCCAAAGGACCCAGGAATAAAAGGTTAACCGTTTGGGGCCTTTACTACAGATAGACCAACATTGGAAAACCAAAACGTTAAAAGGTCGGCTTTGGGCAAAGCACTTTCTCAACCTGCGTTCCTTGGACCAGGCCACTTTTCCAAGATTCTTTTACTGGCAGGATGCAACCTCGTTCCGTCCAACGTTTGTGACATGAAATGACCATCGCATGTCGACTGGAATTGCCGCGCCCGGCCCAAGCCTGAAGCTAAGGCTCCCTTCCAGAGAGGCTTGGCCAACGAAACGCTCAAACTGCGTGATGTATTAAAATTGATGTACCATCAAATGGCTGTGGGTCAAAACCATTTTGGGGTAGGTGCACCACCCATTTTAGTCTGTTTTAGCGGGGATTGAGAGGTTCACTGGGGGTACGGGATTTTGACCCATGGCCAAATCCCCTGAACAAATGCAAGGGGCCTGGCAAATTTCGAAGCGGACTTTTGAGGTGGGGCCGGCAAAAAACGAAAGGATGCGAAAGGCACCGTTTCCTTTTTGGGGTCATAACAGCAAACCCTCAAAGTGGTTGATTTGCAGGCGCCCCTCTCAACCAACCCGGGTTTCCCTATTTCGAGCCAAACCTCCTGCGCGCGCTTTTCCCGCTCCGGCTTCTCGCTCGTCGTCGCCTCGTTTCGTCTGGCGCATGTTGAGGTGCTCGCGCCTCTCTTTCGGCCGCCGTTTCGGTCGGCGGCTCGGCGGCCCGGCGGCCCGGCGGCGCGGCGCATCGAGGGCCAGGGGCCGCGACTTGCGACGGCGATGGCCGGAAGTTGCCTCACTCCTCCGCAGCGGTCATCTGAACCTCGGGGCACTCGGAATCTAAACACGGCCCCTGGCGAACTGGCGCCATGGGGGGTTTCCGTTGGTTTCCCTGCAAAGCAGCCCCGAAAAGGGCACCCTCAAAACAAACAAGCGACATGTGAGTGGCTCCCAGTGAAAGTGGGGTTCCTTTGAAAACCACTGAAAGCTGACTTTGTGCATGGCAATGTCGTGCGTCCATTGCATCCTCATGCTTTTCTCATGGCGAAGAAAGACACAATTCTCCAGGTAGCGCTATCAGCCTCCACCACGAGCCAACAGGCTGGACCGGCTTTGACCGAGTCCGTACCTAAACAGCCAGAGTCTGGGCGGTTCAAAATGGAGGCTTGGCCATTTCTAATAGTCACTATAGGGGGGCCACTACAAAGCAACCCCCTTGCGGAATCCAAGGTAAGGATTAAGGATTACCTTGGAACAGCCCAAACAGACTCTCGCTCTCTCTCTCTCTCTCTCGTTTGTCTCGCCTCTCTATGTCACATCAACGCAGTCACATGTTAAAGCTGTGGATTTTCCCAGCAGCCCGTGGCTGCAGAAAGGGACCAACAATTCCTTGAGCCTAAGTCCGGAATTCGTACTACCCTGTTGCTTTTCAAGGTTTTGAAGGGGACCGCACGACATCTCCTCTTTCAAGAATCTCAGTATAGTAACCTGCACTCACTTAGATCAATATATATATATATATATATATGTAAATATGTATATATATATATATGTGAATACCTACAAATAGAATGGCTTGACGCAAATCAGGCAACCCAACAAATACATGACCCTCTATTCTAACTGAATGTTCCTCTCAAATTAAGATTACCCTCTATTCCAAGAAGTCCCGGTTTAGACTCACTCGCCTCAACCGGTCAAACACCGACTTTGGGACTCTGCCTGCAGGTTCCGCAGGAGGAGTTCCCTCCGCACGTAGGAGGTCCCGCAGCTCCGATCTCACCGTGAACACCTCGGGCCGACCGTGGCTATGGAACGAAGAACTTTCAAACAACTTCACAAGTCGGACTCTTGGCATGGTTGCAACAAACGTTGTTTTGGCAGCCCCCTACTGAAAATGAACAGAACCCCCCCCAAACAAACAAAACACACAAACAAGCACCTAAGAACAGTGAAGGCAAGTGGTTTGGGGCTGGAATTTTGTTCAGAATCCGGACGGGACATTCGATCTGTGATACCAAAGTGGGATTCCCAGCTTTCCAGGTGTCCCCAACTGTAGCGAGAGCGGAGGCTAAGACCATCATCAGTCAGGCCAAGAATTCGTCAAAGGTGTTGGTGGCAGGGGGGGGCCCTCTACCTTCAAGGGACCCTGCAGCAGTGTCTCCAGGACCTTGCACTAACCTGCACAATTTACAATACGTCCAACCCTTGAAATAAGGGATCCACAGCAATCACCATCCGCAGGGTGGTCCACTGTGGGGAAGAACAAGCCAAAGACAATGCCCGCAAGCGGAGGCCAAGCTAAAAAGGGCAATGAAATAAGGGATCCCCAAGTAAACGATCTTTACCATGGTGAGCTCGTTACCCAGGTAAGCTCCCCATAAACTATGCAGACGAATGAGCCCATTCATTGTTCCCCCCTCTTGGGTCCATAAACGATTTCTGCCTAGACGGGTGGCCAGTGTCAACGCCGGCGAACCAGCCTGGTCGTGGGGCAAGCGCGCCTTCCTCCCAAGCTCTGGCAATTCCAGCCAGCCGTCCTGCAAAAGGGGCGAAGAGGGTGCTTGTCAATTGTTGCATGGGCATGAAATATGACCGTTGGACCAAGTCGGACCCTTTGGTGGACACCAGCTCCTGAGAATTGACACCCACCAGTGCATGTTGACATATGTTGACGGCTGCTCCTCAGTGCAATAGCCAAATACTCCTTCCTTGTTAGGCATGGAAGCGCCTCCCCCGAATTGGAGGGGGTCCTTTTGGCTTCGCTGGAAACCACCCCAGACAGAATAATTGCCCTCTAAACATGCACGCTGACAGTATTGCTGGCTTGCCACCCAAAGGCATGCTGGAAAGGGTCGACTTTTTTGGGCTGGCCAATGGGCCAAGCGGAAACCAACAGCCTGGGCTGCAAGCCACCGCAACTTGCTCACCCAACCATTGCGTCAAACGAGATGCCATGAGTGGCCGGGGGAAGTTTGACCCCAAGGCGAACATCAAGGACCCGACTCCCCGTAACAAAAGACGATCCCATGTCCCCGTAAACACCACCCCACCAAAAACAAGCTGAGTCCCACAAGGCCATGCCTAGGCGAAAAACAAGCGACCCACTTCAAATATTGCCTCACCAAAAGGAAGCACTTTAAATTGGCAGGCTGGCCTTCATGTTGTTCCTGACGCCTATTGCTTGCTCAGGCCAGAAACATAGTCACGGTAGGAGGAAACCATGATGCTAATTCCAACGTGCAGCAAAGTGCTTGAGAAATGTCAAGTGCTCGGGCTGGGCTTCGGATTCCCCAGTTGCTCTGCCTGCAGCGAATTAATCATGCAGATCTCTAGTGCCACGGACTTAGCTTGGAAGATTCATGCAACTTTCAGCTGACATCAGGCCGCGCGAAAAGCTAGTACCCCGAGCTGCTTCTTTGCTGGTCCACGGAAGCTTGCCCTGCACGAAAAGGACAGCTTCTAAGAGAAGGTTGATTTTTCTAATCAGCAAATGAGGTTTAACAGTACTGGCGATGATCTTAAGCTACTAGTGGCTTATGCAAGAATATGCTTTCAGGCTTTGTGAAATGTTCATGCAGTATGTCTCTGGTAGAACAATGACAACATTGCTTGATGTGAATTGTCAGTGTGAATTGAAATATGTCCATGATTTCCCTACATAGTGTTTTTTTGACCTCTGGCAGTGAAAAGACCATTTTTCAAAGTTATCATCTACATTTTAACTCAACGATACCTCTCTTTTCAGTCTAACTTTGCTCGGGAGCCACCACGTGAAGCCAACCAACCGAAGGGAGTTGCACCTTTGCGCGTCCGCGCGCCTCGTTCACCTCCACTTGTGAGAAGCAAGGCCGCCAGGCCCCGTTCACTGTGTACCTCGCGAAAGGCGTTACTGCAAGAGGGTTCAGATGTATTCCATCGGGGGACCCCGGTTGTATGGTCGGCTGGCCAATCCTCATCCATAATCCCAGCAGAAGCCACTACACAAAGAACCCTTGCGTAACCCAGGGTAAGGAAGCAGGCTTGCCTTTAAACGGCCCAGTCTTCAAACTGGCTGGTTCTTTGGACATGTGTCATTTCCTGATTCCTGTTTAGCTCGCTTGCAACCGAAAGGCCTTGTTGCAGAAAAGGGAACACCCTCTAGGTTGCCTTGTGCCTGGCAAGACAAGCGCGAGGCGCCTCTCAAGTGGCGCAGCCATCCTTGCCAAACAAACGGTCATGGTCCTGAGACTTTGTGCGGTCACCACACTTAAGTAGTTGCTCAAGCAATGGAAACCGCTTCTTGTTGGTCACTGGGGATCGAGTGCAACCAAAGAGCCTTGACACGAAGGCTAACCATTTGGCACCTCGGACTAAGCCTACGTGACCCTAGCGGTTTGAATGGAGATTCAGGGGGGCCTTCCAACACATAGCAAATACACATAATACATAATGATACATAATGGCCATATGATGGATGCATAGCCACTGGGTTGCTTGCTGAATGCACTCACAAATCGTGTGATAAACATATGTGCTTAAATGGGAAACCCATCAAGTCAGGAAGGAAATTGGGAGTTCGGTAGAGGAAGGCAGGCATCCAAAAAAACTTTCTGTATAGGAATTCGGATCTGTTCAAAATCACCTGGATTTGTTTCCCTGGCCCCTATGTGTATCCTGTAAGGGGCCCTGTAAACATGGTCCCCTAAAGGAAAACCGCAAACACTCCGCTGAAGCAGCTGGTCGTTGGGTGATTCTTTAGCTGGCCCCACCTTGTATCTTTGAGGGACCTCTCACACTATGTGCGTTTCTCACGGTCAAGGTTCCCTCTTTGGATGGCGTTGAAGGGAAGCCCAAAAGTAAACCAGCTACCTGGTTGGCTCCGTTTTCAGAAACAAGAAACACCTAAATTCACAAGGACAGGTCGGGTTAAACTCAGCGAGATGCTGTATGAGGCCCTCATCCGCCAGGTGGATGCGAATGCAGTCCTTGCCCCTTCCTTCTACCTGCGCTGTCCGACCCGCACAAGCACATGGGATGTTAAAGTAGGGAGACCCCAAAAACGCCGCTTTCCTGTTGGCAAGAACGCCGCTTTCCTGTTGGTTTCCCTGTAATTAACCAACCTGATTACCCCTGAATAACCTACACACACACATCATCTCATGTTCCCGTCTGCCAAGGAAAGGCGCGAGATCCTGCTGGGGGACAAACCTGTAACCGAACCCGTTGCTTTTCCGCTCCAAATCAACTGACCTCGAAACCTTCAACGCAAACGGTATGGCAAAAGCTGTCCCCTGCCCATACGTTTGAGACAAAACCAACGACATATGCAACCCTTCCGTTGCGACTGGTGTGGCTCGAGACTCAATTTGCGTTCGTGGCCGTTTTCCCCTGTGATGGAATGCGCTAGCTTGTCAAATCGAGGCGCGGCTCTCCAAAGAGTGGAGCAAGCCCACTGAGTGCCGGGCAAAGCGGACGCCCAAACCGGCCAAAACGGCCAACTCCTGCAGCAAGATCCTGGCAACAGATCTCCGTGCATGGGGGCCAACACTCGAACCCCAACTGGCAACACATGCAGAGGTAAAATCTGCATCCCTTTGTCGGGGGATAAGTTGCATGTCAAAACCAGCGGTTGCTTTCCTTCAGCTCCCTCACTTTGAGGAAAACCACTTGGCAAATCCTACTGGGGGTGCCCGGGCCAAAAGGCGCACTGAAATGAGGATGAAGATCAATATGCTTAAGTATAGAGGGGCTTGCGTGCGAATCAGGAGATTAAGTGGGAGTGCTGAGTGAGGGGTACAGCGCGGGTTTCATCAGAGTTGCCGACGCTGGAGAACTCCAGTCAAAATTGGGGGTGAGGCGAGGCTGATGAGGATGTTGAATGAAGGCGAATGAAGGCTGCACCATGGGGTGTGCATGTTCGGAACAACAACGCGCCTTTGCAGAACCATGTCAAAGAACGAAAAACAAAAAACACACACACACACCCTCGTTTCACCCGCCTCTAAACATGTCCCTCCACCTGAAAACAAAAACATTTGCCAGGTGGACCCGAGAGAAACTCGTGGGCTCCTGGACCCCGGTTTCGTGGCTTTCTTCCCCCAGGATGCCGAGGAAAGAGTCTTTCGTCGCTCCTGCAGGGCTCCGCCTCCTTGGCCAAGAGCTTCACCGTCTTTTGCAGCTCGGGGAAGAAGACCACGCCTCGGGTGGGATGGGGTGGGGTGGGGTGGGGTGGGGTGGGGTGGGGTGGGGTGGGGTGGGGTGGGTTGGGTTGGGGTGGGGTGGGGTGGGGTGGGGTGGGGTGGGGTGGGGTGGGGTGGGGTGGGGTGGGGTGGGGTGGGGTGGGGTGGGTGGGTGGGTGTATGTATGTTGTTGTTTGTTTTTTTTGTTGAGAGGGTGCCCCACCTGTTTTACATGGCACGGTCGGGGGTGAGTCCTTCCAAGAGGAAACGGATCTTCCACAGGTGCTACGTTAGTGGGAGAGGTGCCCAGGCGCGTTCTGGAATTCCATGGTTCAAGAGGTTCAGGGATTAGTTTATGCCATCTGCATGAAGTACGTTCTGGGAACTTGGCCGGCTCCGGCAACTTTGGTTGCACTCCGATGGGCGGCTTCGATCGCATTGTCTTGAGTTTTCTGTGCAGATAGCTTCAACACGCTCCGAATCCCAAGGTTCGAAAGCACATAGCCAGCAGCCGAACGGCTGCCCAATGAGAAAGGAAGCGCGGCCTTAGGAAATCATATCCCAGGAACCCCCGTATGCCAATTTCAGAGCCCTAAGCAGCCGAGTGACTAGTCGTGACTAATAACCACAAGGGACCATGAGTGACAATCGAGGGCCATAGCGCTATTTTTTCCCTTGCGGCTCTGCATCAATCTTGGACTCTCAGAAGGCAAGCGTCCGTCCTCCTGAAAGATCATGTGGCTCAGTGGCGGGCGCAAAGCCTAAGCAAGTGCCAAGCTGGCTGCCACATGCAAAAACGAGAGGGGCGAACTAAAACTGGAGCGAAGAATGCTGGGCTTCGGAAAATCAACCGAAGGGTGTGTCCCACTGGGAGGCTTTCAAGGACAACTATTAAAGACGCCCCTTGTTTATCCAACGGTTTGCAAATGAAGTTGGAGTGACAGGCAAAAGAAACGTCCACCGACCCATCCACGCCCCCCCCCCTTTCCCCGCCAGGAAAGCATCGGCGCGATCCTTGGCGCGCCTCTTGCATCCAAGCGTCTCCGTCCACGGTGTACCTCGGGAAGGCGTCTCCATTTTGCTTAAGTCCGCTGTAAAAGAACATGCGCATTTCTAGTAGTGATGAGAATAGTTCCCTTGGCCTCTATGTTTTTTGTTTGTTTTAAGTGTCCCCTGGAAAAAAACAACAACTGCATATATCCAATAGCTGTAAAGCTAGTTCCCTTGAAAACCAAGAGGGTTGCATAAACCACATTCTGAAATGCAAACGGAAGCTTGTGGGGAAAACACAAGAAGAAGCGCCTGCCTGCATCCCGCCGTCCGATCGATCGATAGATCGATGGATCGATGGATCCTTGAGTCAATCAGATAGTACAGTCAGCGAGCCAGTCAATCAATCAAATCAAACAAAAACCAGATCCGAAGCAACCAATCAAAGCAAACAAAACCAATTACACCAAGCAAACAGTCAGTCAGTCAGTCAGTCAGTCAGTCAGTCAGTCAGTCAGTCAGTCAGTCAGTCAGTCAGTCAGTCAGTCAGTCAGTCAGTCAGTCAGTCAGTCAGTCAGTCAGTCAGTCAGTCAGTCAGTGAGTCAGTGAGGTCAGCCAGCCAGCCGGTCAGTCAGTCAATCAGTCAGTCAGTCAGTCAGTCAGTCAGTCAGTCAGTCAGTCAGTCAACCGCCAGCCCGCCAACCAACCAACCAAACTAACCAGCTAACCAATCAACACAATCAAATCCAATCAAACCAATTCAAGCCACATCAAACAACCAATCAAACAAATCAACCAGCTGAACATCCAGTGCAGTCAACCAAACAACAAGTCATCCACCTCACAGCTAACCAGTCAATCAGGCAACTAGCCAGGCAACAAATCAAGCAGACAACAAGTTGAAGGGGTCGCAAGCGCGTGCCCTTTTCAGGAACCGGTTACCCTCGTGCTGTTTTCAGCGCGGTGACCCAAGAAGGCCGTCCAATCAAAGCAACAGCGTTTTTCCAAGTTGGTTTCCAATTAGGGCACCCCGAGCGATTGATTATCGTCCAATGGGACCCTTGTGGTTGAACACAACCTGCGACAACCACATGTTAACGTGCTTCGTCTCTTTCGTGCAGCTCCAGTTGTAAAACACCGAAAGCAACCACAACAAGAATCAAGTTGATAACATGTGGCGACCAACATTCAACATGTGTTGTTTCTTTAGTGAACCTTCAGGTGTTTTTTTTTGAACAAACAACTACAACAACAAAAAAACAAAAGAAAGAAACCAAGGGATTCGGTTCAAAGGTGCTGCAGCCTCTGCTTGGCCAAATGGAAGCGAACCATTCGCTCCCCTCGGGCCCCCAGGAACCGGACCTCGGATCCATCTGACTTGCTCCCAAGAGGGGAAGTACGGGCTGGGACTCACAGCGCAGGGATCCTTACCTCAGTTGTTCAGTGACCCTGGGAAAAAAAGGGAACCCTTTTTGGGGAAGACCATTTTTAGTGGGGCAGCCACCCAAAAAAAGAAGGAACAAGGGTGCCACTGAACAACTGAGTTACATTATACACCTTGAACATTGCCTTGTAAATGGTGGTCTCCTTTCATTTCGGAAAGGAAAAAGCAACATGTTTCAAGTGGGCAAAGTGTATCTTTTAAGGAGCCCTGCGTAGGCCAAGCAACAAGTCGCGGGAAGTACAGTAGTCAAGCTACACCAATTGTTGCTAGGCCCAATATTCTTGGACTAGTATAACGGACTAGATTCTCGGATCAGATGTTTCCTATCTGTATAACCTACCTGTATATCATGACAACCTATCTGTATAGAATGACAAGCTATCTGTATTGCTTTGGGCTATATTCTTTCCCCAAAAATTTGAAAGGCGAAAGATCCAAAGAAGTACCCAACAAGTCTTCTTTAGAGTGGACGTTGGAGGAGGTTGCCATGAAACTCACAGATCCCCTTTCCTGCTGTTCAGTTTGATTGGCCACAACTTCTGGTCGAACATGGTGGAAACCTTGAGGAAAAAAGGAGAGGCATCGGACGGGTTTGCTTCTGGTCATTGGAGGGCGTCCCAGGGGCGAGAAGCAATCAAGGGGGGTCCTTTACGAAAGAAAGATCAATGCCACGACGTACCCACCCAGATCCACGGCAAAAGTGGTCCCCGCAGAAAGGATGCACACTGCCAATGGTCTGAAGCATTCTTTCCGCTGGGTCAGGACGTACTTGCCACCATTAACCACCCAAGGGCGAAAGACAACGACCCCTCACCGAATCGGATAACAACAGTCATGGACAAATCTTCATGGGTCCTTTAGGCTTGCCTCTTGAGCTCGCGCCTACCACACTTCTGAAGCACGTCGCATTTTGCTGAGCCAATGAGAGCACTTGCACTGCAACCATGATCAGCAGTTGATTTGGGTCTTGCCTGTGTGATGTGATTATTGTGCTTTTTCGATGCATCTCATCTTTGCGTTTACGCCTATCGAAAGGTGTGCGGCAAACCATCAAATCACCATCCGACCCAGTGCCAGTCCATCTGTTCAAAGGGAAGCAACACGGCCCTTTGATTGAAAGAGTGGGGGCTCCCCACTTCCAGTTGCGTTCCTTACCAAAAATGAAACAAACTAGAGGTGAGCAGTTCCCCGCCCCCCGAATTTCCAAGGGGGGCACTCAGGGAAGGGAATCGCTGCCCTCCCAACCCCCAAGTGGCTATGTCCGGTTGAGCAAGCTGACCCACTGCATGCCCAAGGCTGGTGTATACCAAAAATCAAATGTTCAGACCCTGATTTTTCTGTTTGCCTAGGCCAAATAACATGCAGCTTGAGGGGACGCCGGTGGAGGCCGGTTTGACACGTCCAGGAAAGCCGCAAGGCAAGGCGCTCCCAAACGCACGCGGCAAGCCATGTCCTGCAGCTTGATCCTGGGGCGGAGGCCCCAGCAAGGAGCTTTGACTTTGGCTCAAGTGCCACTGGGAGAAACAAAAATCGTGCGGACCCCAAGTGAATAAACCAAGAAACTGCTGGTTGTCGACTATGGGGGTGTCCCCTTCTTGGTGGGGGTTGATCACTTTTGGAGGGGCGTGCAAGCTCTATGACTATGCTGAAAAACGTCAAATTGAAGAAAACCCCTCCGCGTCGCTATCGTCGCCGTGAGCAAAGTCTTGACCTTTTCCCCTCAAGGTGAAAAGTAAAAGGCCGCTCTTTGACAATGGGCGTGATCGGTTGATGCGTGAAAATCACCCGGGCTGCCCTACATCCTGGCATCATCCTGGCATGTGGAGAAGTAGCGAATTGGCGGGACAATATGAGCTTGTCATTTTGACCGTTGCTACAGTGCTTGTCATATGGCGCTTCACTTTCTCATGCCATCAGCATCAGAACTGGATGCCATCACACCTGCACACCATTTTCGATCGGCCAACAGCACAGTTTGATCCCAATCGTGATTGGCGATTCGGGGTAGGGGCCCGGCTTCTGACAACTTGCCTTCAATTCGGGTGTCAGGAATGCCCACAATGACTGTTGTTGCTTTCTTTTCAAAGAACTCTCAAAAACAATATGTATTTATATATATATGCCGACTAACATGGAAGTGCACAAACCCCTGAAGAAGGACGATGTTTCTCTTGGAAAGGGGGGTTGTGCACTTTCATGTTAGTTGCCTGGGAGGGTGTATATCTATATATAAAAATACATATATATATATAGATTTATCATCAAAGGAAGTTTAGAAGGGACTTCCGTGTTACGGCAACTAATTGAAAGCTAGCTCTCTCTGAGACAGATGAGAAGGAATAAGCACGCGAGAAAATATGCGCGCGCGCGTGTGGTTGGAGAATAGAAATGCGCCAAAAGCATGGCCCTGTGCGTGATTTGGCGTCTCCGGAGAGCTGGGAGCTAGCCCGTTCGCGGCGTCTGGTGGGCGGGGGTTTCGGACAGCCTGTTGCACGGCAACGCGAAGGTTTCGCAAGGATAGAACTGCGTGGCAGGCGCAGCACTTTCGCAGATTTCATGGCAGGGGCAGCATTTTCGCAAGGTGAAGTACAGATTTCGTGGCAGGGGCAGCATTTTCGCAAGGAAAGTACATATTTCGTGGCAGGGGCAGCATGTTCGCAAGGTGAAGTACAGATTTCGTGGCAGGCGCAGCATTTTCGCAAGGTAAGTGCAGATTTCGTGGCAGGGGCAGCAATTTTGCAACGTGAAGTGCAGATTTCGTGGCAGGCGCAGTACTTTCGGAAGGTCAAACACAGATTCGTGGCAGTGGCAGCATGTTTCGCAAGGTCAAGTACAGATTTCGTGGCAGGCGCAGCACTTTCGCAAGATCAAATCGATTCGTGGCAGGGGCATCACTTATACAGAAAAGTAAATGCATCAACAGATAGATAGATAGATCGATCAATGAATAGATAGACAGACAGAGAGATAGATAGAGAGATAGATAGCGAGATAGATAGATAGATAGATAGATAGATAGATAGATAGATAGATAGATAGATAGATAGGTTTAAAAAAGAGATAGATAGATGGATATAGAAAGAGAAATAGATAGATAGATAGATGGATAGATAGATAGATAGATAGATAGATAGATAGATAGGTAGGCATATAGATAGCGAGAGAGATAGAGAGATAGAGAGACATATTGATAGATAGAGATATAGATGCATAGATAGACAGATAGATAAATCGATAAGATAGCTTAGATAGATACATAAATAGAAAGAGAGAAAGAGACATTAGATAGATAGATAGATGGATGGATGGATAGATAGATAGAAACATTAGATAGATAGATAGATAGATAGATAGAGAGAGAGAGAGAGAGAAAAAAAAGACAGATGGATAGATAGCTGCCTACACACACAGACACGTACACACGAAAAGAAAGAACGGCACAACACCAAGCAAAAGAAAGGAATAAAAGAAAGAACAAAGACAGAAAGAAGGAAAGAACAACAAAAAGAAGGGAGGAAGGCAAGGAAAAAAAAGAACAGAGATAATGACGAAGAAAAAATAGACAATGAAGAGGAAGAAGAAGAAAACAATGATCAAAAAAAGAAAGAGAAAAGGAACTTTAGTTTTATATTATTGAAACTTCCGCCCACCGGCTTCGCCGGCTATACTGGTATATTTATCTGTACCTATGCCTTAGGCGCATTTAGGCCCCTCGTCTCTTGCCAAGCTGCCGAAGCTCCTTCGCTTCCGTGCGCGGCAGGTGCACCGACTTGCCTCCGAAGGTCGAGGGAAGTCTCAGCTCCCAAAGCCATCGACGGGTGCGCCCGCAGCACCCCTTTCGGGGTGGCGGGAAAAGGGAGGAACGCCGCACATTGGTGGGGGCTCCAGGAGACAAACCTGCATAGTCGTTCTGTTTTTATCGTTTGAAGTCCCATCATGGAAGTGGAGGAGGCACCTGAAACAAGACAAGGGGCAATTAGTCTTCCAAAGCCCTCCTGCGCACTTCTATTGCAAACAACATGGTAACCATTAGGCACCTTGACTAACATGGGCACAAAAGGTTCGATTTGCTTCGAGCCTCAGGCCGGGTATCGAGCCCCCTGACAATCTTCTAAACTCGGACCAGATGGACCACCCACTTGTCAACCAAAAATAAGAAAAGGGGTCAGGCTCGCTTTTGTGCCGCCAATCTCGTCGCCCACTCCCCAAATCGAAACCTTCAGGACTTGCGAAGCCGCCAGCTACGGCATCGAAAGCAAGGCTGAATGTTGGTTCATTACTTGATTACTTGGTTGCGAGAGCCCTCGGCAAAACGTGAATATGAATAGCTTTTTGTGCGTTTAATGGGAAACACCTTGAGTTCAACCAAACAAGTTAAAGTTTAAAGATCCAACCCAACAGCAATCAAGATTATTCCCGCCAAGCGAAAAAGCCAGTTCCTCTCTTGGGGAAAGCCCGGCTATTGACGGTCGAGCTTGTCTCCTGCCTAGGTCGGGCACATCCAAGATGGCGGCGTCGAAAAGCATCTGCTGGAACAATGGCCTTGGGACCCCGTCCACGGTGTATTGCCTCAGGCGGGCGGCCAAACTAGCCCAGTGACCCCAGGCGAAGAGGATCCTTTTAGTTGTTGACACTTGTTTTCTTGACAAGGGGCCAACTAAATAATGTCAGTCAACTTCAGACGTCTTCAGACTATAGAATCCGGAGGGCCGTGCTATTCAGAAGGTTCCCCTTTCAGGCATGAAATGAACTATTTTTTCTTGGGGGGGATTCCTTGAACTAGTAGGGTCCTCCGGATGAATCTGAAGTTGACACTAAAGGAAACAACGGACCAACCGGGAGGTTGACAAAAAACAGTTGACTGGGCGAAAAGCTGTGGGATATGGCTACCTGACACGTGGGAATTTCCATCTGTGCGCCAAGGAGCATAGCGATATGCGTAGATGCATGTTTGGGGTACCATGCTGGTTTTGGTTTGGGGTTCTCCATTGATAGCATGCAGGGTTTCGTAGGCAACCAAGGAACCACCCATTGACAGGATGGAGGTGTGTCTGTCCGCTCGCAGGGCAACCGCGGGGTTGCGGCTTCGCCTTGTCCCCAGCAAGGGGGCCATGGCTAGAAATGGACCAGGGGAAGGCCTTCAAGGTCAATAGGTCGGTTCGCCTTGGGCAAGAGCTTGTTACTGTACACCTGAAGCAAGGATCCGATACCTCAAAACAAACGCAGGTGGTGCATGGCTCAAATGAGGAACCGGGGATGACCCTAAGGTTGAGAACAGCCCGGGGCATTGCCACTTCACATAGAGAACGGTTTCCTCAAGGGACCTGCTGCCAAGTGCCATATTTCAAAGTTGACCCCGGATGATTCACTCGGCCTATTTGGGGAGGTGCCCCCTCCAAAAGTTCTCTGACCTTTACAAGCTGACACGCTCCAATCAAAATCAACCAGGGGTTCAACTTCATCCAGGCCCCCAAATGGCTCCGATTTTCCTTAAAACCTACCACAAAGCGGTGTACCTATTCATCAACCAGGGCTTCTACCTAGATCCGCTCCCTTGGAGACGCGGCAGCGGCCTCCTCACCTGGGGCCCCTGGCAGGTAGTAATCGTCGGCGCATGTGACTCGGACGCGCCCGTGGCCCCTGCGCCATGTGAACTTGTGGCCCTCCAGGTCGGGTCCGAAACCCCGAAGGAGATGCTCGAAAAGATTGGCATCCAGGGATGGTGGCTCCATGAGATGCTTCAATGAGAAACATGGTTGAAACATTTGCATGGTGGTTCATGCTCCACCGAAAAGATGGTCCGATGTTCCTCCAGGGAGGTGGCTTGGATCACTTCATGCTTGGGGCGGTGGAGCTGAGCGGAAGGGGGGCAGCAGCCATGCCCAGGCCGACCTTCAAAGCTATTGACCAAAAGTTGCGGTTTCAGATGCTGGCCGACCCGCAGGAAATTGCAAAGCAGATGTGAGAGCCTATCCCTTTCGCTTCCGTGCAACCTGGTGTTCAACAACCTGGTGTTCAATCATAGATGCCCCCACCACATGATGTGCGGCTCTTCCTGGCTTTTGGCGTTTGTCTCGATTCCAGGCTGAGCCAGGACCCTGGTCCGCGTCGTCACCCGCGAGATCTCGCGCGATCGCGCCTGGCTTCCTCGAAGTCAACGCCCAAAGAGGCGCGGCACGCCAGCCTTGAGTGTCACCCCTGTGGAAAACATGTTTTTTTTGGTGTTTTAAAGAAAAGAAAAAACAAGCACAAAGACCTAAACTCAAGAGTCATCCGAGGGACTTCCATGATTGGGGGCTGACGCATGAGTACGGTAGGACTCGTGCGGTACGTTTTGAGGCCCCGACGCATGACTCTTCAGGCCAGAGAAATCTGAAATGAGCCAAGATGAACTTAAAGCCACTGAAAAGGGACAACATGAGTATGCTCAAGGGTAGTCAAACTACCCCAAACATGGTACTTCTGTTGGTTTCCCTGGCCCAAGTCAAAAGGGTACCGAGTCGAAAACGCTTCCAGAGCCCAGGGAACCCTCAGGTTTAGAGCTGAGACTGGCCGTAAGGTTTGCTCACTCGTGGCAACCCAAAGGGTTTCTCCCAACGGTTCTGAGGTGTTTCTACGGTCTACGGGGATCCACGACCGGGATTCCGGGGAACATTTTCTGGCCGGGCCGTTGAGCTTCTTGCAAGCTTGCTTATGCTGTTTCATGCTGTTTCTGCTTTTCCTGAATGTTCCCCTTCCGTTGGCTACGCATGTTCATTCAGCCAAGTGTTGCCACCCCCCCCACCCCCACCCCCAAGATGTCATGCCCAAGAGGATGCCCCTAAGCGCTACAAATTATATTTGGCTCAAGTTAAACAAAATCGGGCTGCATTGCGTAATACTGGTACAACTGGTAACTATCACTTCTGGCTGGCCAAGATCATCTCAAAACACCGCAGCCTGCGCCCAGAGTAACTCTGGCAATGATACGACACATCGCAATTTGCGCTGCGCTTTTGAGTTCACGTTTAAGCGGCAGATCGCCGCGCTCCATCTTCTCTTGCAAGCTCGGTCTAGCAGGTTAGCAGGAATTTATCCCATGATCTAGGTAGCCTTCGGCGTGCGCTGCACGCAGTTCTCTCGCAAGTCCAGAAAGGGGTTCTTGGGAGGGCTCCGCAAAAGTGATCTTCGATGGGTTCCTCGAAGCTGTGGCACAAACTCAACAAGTATCAAAGCTTTTCCGCAGAGCCGTTAGTCGAAGCTCCGAATCAATTTCTGCAAGTTTTGCCTAAATTGCAAACACTTTCTCGAAATTCCGCGGGGCCGGAAATCCAGACCCGCGCCCCTTCCTGAAACCTTCTGATGTACGTGCGATATGCACGATGTATGCTTGCATATGTGGGGGTTGATCAAAAGGTCCTTTACCTGGGGTGACTATGGGGGAAACACACACACACACACACACAAAATGGAAAAATAACAGGCCATATGGGGTCCAAGAATATTGATCAACCCCCATGCATATCGACAGAACTCACAAAAAATAAGAACGCATCAATGCCCCGCCCAGACTCAACTTCATGCTGGTCTCCCTTTGCTTGCTGCCCAGGGCGCTGCTGCATCTCCACCCTCAGAGGACCACGAGAAGAGTTCACGCACCGCCTATTTCTAACTTCACCCCCCCCCCCCTCAGTTTACGACACCACATACCTTCGAGGCACGGAATAATAATAAACAACAAATAGATAAATACCTAAAAACCCTACTCAATGCGCAAACCCAGATGGACACCCAAAAGGCCCGGAATTGGCGGGGATTTCGTCTATCCCATGGCTTTACGCCGCCCGCCTTGCAGCTTTGGCCTCCTTGGGCAGCTTGGCAGTGGTACCCAGCTCCGGGAAGTGCACAAACTGGCCCTGGCGCTCGGACGTCGGACCCGGTCGGACGGGAAAAAACCCCTTGAGGTTTCGAAGTGAGAACTTCGGGGTCTGTTGAACCCCTGCAAAAAGCTTTTAGCTTTTTAGGGGTTTAGTGGAAAACCCCTTGATTACCCCAAAAGTTAAAGTCTAAAGATCCAAACCAATAGCAGCCAAGAGAACCATCCCATGGATCCGAGAAGATTCCGCGAGAGGAGTCTCCCGTTGGCCCTTTTGAGAAATGGACCCACTTGGGGGGCTCCATGGTCTCCATTGGGCGTACTCTGCTTCCAACGGAAGTGGAGAGGATTCCCTAACTTCCCCGGGGTCCAAGTCTTTTGAGACCGTCAAGAATCGGACCTGCCACTTCTCATAAGATTGACACCTGGCCTAGGATCTATGCAAGCAACTGGAAATGTCCAATACTACCCTGGATATGCACGCGGAAGCACATCAACGTGTTGCTCGGGTATAGAACGGAGTTCGAACGAACACCCATAAGTAAGCGCTGTCGCCCGGCTGCACGCCAAGCCTTTGAGCACGTGGCATGCCAACAGGATGGTGCTATTTGGGGAAACACCACATGGAACCCCAAAGAAGGGAAGCCATATGACAACTGCTGCTGTCTGTTTTTGTGGGAGGGGGGCGGGGTGTCCATTCAAGTACCGACACAATCACCACACATGGGTGTGCGTCGAAAGAAGAGGTAACCTCGAAAACAGCACAAGCCCATGGCGTTCTAAGATGTCCACTGCTCCCAAGCCAGCACCCCCAAGGCTTACTTAGTTTCACTTGCCCAAAGGACCTTGGAATACAAGGTTTACCTTTTGGGGTCGTGACGAAAGACGCACCAACATGGGGAAACCAAAAGGCTCAATTGGTCAAAAGGCCGGCTCTGCGCAACTGAGACATGGTTATGCAACTAAATTGTGTAGCAACCATAAGGGTACTTGCCCCTCTTTCGCCGAAATGTTTGGGTCCCAAAGCGTTCGGGTCCCTTCTGGCCATCTGCAGAAGTGACATCTGAGCATAGGTGTCCTTTTGGTAAAATAGATTGCCCTGGTAAATGGAATAAACTCAAACTAAACCAATGCCGTCTATTTCTATCCAAACAAACCCTGGGCTGTCCTCAGATCCCCCCGCTAAAAGCTTAACTTTTAGTGGGTGAATCGAAATCCCCACTAAACACCAAACAAACTAATAACCTAACTGGATGGCTGGGAACCAGCAAGAACCTAAAGACGACACCTACTGTGGGTGGACGAAATCCATTTCGCACCACCTAAGAACCCCCGGAATGCATCGATTGTTCTGTAAATGCCAACAAACGTTATGGTTTCAACCATGGTTTCATTTCGTGCGAACGGATTCCGTCCAAAGAATGTTTTTCTGAGTCCCGTCCTCAAAGTACATCTGGGAGAAGCCCGGGCGCGGCTTCCCATCCACGGTGTACTGGAGCTTCCCCGGGCCTCCGGGCATCAAGTCGTGGCTTTTATGTTGGCCGTGGCTTTCAAAGGAACCAAAGGGACGACCACGGCTTTGGGTATCCCCAAAAAAGTCAAAGGCTCAAAATGTTGGGTTATGTAGGTTCTCTCCATCTCGGATTCTTTTTGGGGAGTACCCTCCAGAGCGCCCTGCCCCCTTTGGTGGTTTTTCAGCAGTTGTTTCGGAGGGGTTTAGGTGGGTTCTTTCGGTGGGGTGATGTTTAAGAAGCAAGAAAACGGGGATCCCAGTTTGTTGGCCAAGTCAAAGGACTCCCTGAGGGATTTGCAGGTATTGCCGAAGCTTCAAAGGCTTGTTGGTTGGGAGGGACGTTCAGCTATGGGTCTTTGAGGCCTGCGGTGGACAAAATCAAACTTTGCACCAGATGGTAGGTGGGTTTTTTCCCACTATTCATAGGGCTTCATCCATCCCAACTGCTGCAGATGGTTGTCCATCCACAGTGTGGGGGTGCATTTCTGCAGCCCAGACAAACTTGCAAAGGCTTCTGCAGCTGGCTTTGCGCTTCACCCATACCAAGCCCATGAAAAGAAGTGAGGGCGCAACGCAAAGCGCAGCTATGCTTGGTTGGGACGCACATGAGGCTGTACTGTCCGCCCTGGTTGAACAGTGTCATGTTCACTCCCTCTTCAACATGCCATTCAGTGATTCAGATTGGTTCAGGAACTTCCCGCCAGCAAAACACCCATGCTCTTTCCAACAATCATCGACGTGGAATGATGCAGATGGGAGGCTTCCTGGAAGGAACGTTTTTTTTTTTTTTTTTGTTTCATAGAGAGCCAGGAGAGTGTGATCTTTTGCCAGTTCGATTGAACAGAAGCAATAACAATACTATCTTCTGCCAAGAACTTCCAATTTGCTTTTTTTTCCGCCCCATGAAGAACATACAACTATGTCCGATTCCCTTTAAAACCAACAGGGGAAAAATAGTCTTAAGCAAATGGAAGAGAATCAAGGTCCTAACAATACATGTTTTTCCAACACCCTCTATCATCCTCTTTCCAACACCCCTGGGGAGGGGGGGGGGCAGTCTCCCAACTTCAAAACGGGAAAAAGAAGAAGAAGAAGAAGAAACTCATATTGGTGTTTGGCCCCAGACTTAAGCCCAGGGTTCTTGGTCCATTGGTAGGGAACGTGGCCCATGTTTACTATGCGGGCCCATGTTTACTCAGAACTGAGGTAGTAGGGTGCTGTGAAGCCATACGCTATGATCCGAGGAAAACACTCGGGGTGTCCCTTGTTCTCAGGGTACCCTTTGTAGGGTTGGTTCAAAGAGAACCCCCCCCCCAAAAAAAAACGAAGCCATTTGGTGGGTCCTCCTATTCTGACACATCCCCATTTAGCCCCAATGCAAGGATCAAGAGCAAGATACCGGCCTCGTTGAATCTCATGCAAAGCATTGCACAAGGCAATGTCTAGCCCCCGCAACTCTTACGTTTCAGCCTTTCGCTTGAAACCCTCCGTGCGGGTCCCTTCCGCCTGCCACAGTCATCCGGAGGCATCCCTTGCCTCTGGCCTCCGTGTTTCGAAGGGCCGAGGCTCAGTCAAGAACACGGCCTTGGATCCCTCAAGAAAAAAATACAGGATCTGTGCATTGTGCGTGTGGCTACGTGTCCAGTTTGTTTTCCTATGGCTTTTCTCTTGTTCTCATTGAGGCGCACCCTTGCGGGCGAGTCCGGAAGTGCAACAGTCTCACATTCCAAAGATCTGGACAAAGTTGCTCCGAATAATGAACCAGGATAGACGATTGGCCCGTGAAGGGGATGCCACAAAAAACACAGTGATTGTCTACCCTTGGGCCTTGCTCAACTTGAGGCTCGAAGTAACCCCCGTGGATTGTTGACCCAAATGATTTAAAAAAAAAAAAAAAAAAAAAAAAAAAAACGGTTGCACCGCAAAGGGGTCCATTTCGAAATGGACAGGGGCAATGGGCAAATAAATCACGTTTGCAAATTTACTCCCGGTTCGCTGGCCGAACGGAGGAACTTTGAGAGACGGACACGGGGGCCGCCAGTTCGCGGCCTTGGAAAACTGCAGTGGTCCCAGGGCTTCGGACGGCAACAAAAATGCACAACAATGCAAACCAACATGAAGCCGAGTGGGTGTGTGTTTTGTTTCACCACTCCTCATGGCTCAAAGGGACCTGCGGCCCAAGACAAACCCAAGTAAAGTCCAAGGAATATGGCGTGAAGTCTGGAGGCTAAAAAGCTCAGGAACCGGATGGCTGGGAGCCACCAAGTGTTCAGACACCCCCGAACCCAAACCCAAGCGGGCCTCTGCGAAGGACATGCCGCAGCCTGCAGCCACGGCCAGTGCCTGCAGCAGCTGCCGCAGTTGCGGGGCTTCAGCGGCTGGCAGCTGCGCCGAGTGGTGGATCTCCGGGAACCTCAGTGGGAAACCCGCTAATGTTAACCCCGGATTCATAAACACTCGTCCAACTCCGACCTTGAGAGTTTTCCGCTGGTTGACTAATAGGGGGGTGTCCCCTTTTGGGGGGATTCATCACTTTTGGCACGACATTTGCCGAAAGCTAGTGGACATTCCTGCACGACATTTCTTGGTTGACGTTGGAAGGGGAGCAGTTTTCGAAGTTTAGCAGTTAAGTGGGGATTTCCCACTAAACCGCAATAAGCAAAAATGTAAAATGTTTCCCAACAACAACCATGATTTGCCGAATGCCCACCAACAAAAGCAAGGATCAGTCTCCGCGGCTGATTTCTTAGATCATTGGAAGTCCACAGGGTCACAGCATGGTTTCATCGGCGCGGGTGGGTCCTGAACAACAACCTCAAAAATACTCTCCGAATGGTGGCTTACAGGGGGGACCATCCCAAGAGTCATTCTGTCCGTTGTTTTCGGGATCCAATGCATGGTTCATCGGCTAATCCCCCTGTGATACCAAGATGAGCAATTGATTCTCATAACTGCTGTGTCACTTTTAATGGGGCTCCCTTGCTGTCACGAAATTTGTCGCTAGAACCATTGTTTCCAACCCCCTGGCCCTCTAGTGGGGCCCACAGCCAACAAGAGTGGGTCAAACTGCCGAAATCCGCACGTAGTCAAGACCCTGCTGCAACAAAAACAACTAGCACCATCTGGCAAAGGATTCGGGATCAACTGTGAACAAGCCAGCAAAGAAAGAAACAAGGGCTTGTCTCCGAAGAGGGCAGCTTCTTTGCGTTTCTCAGTCCCGGCATGCTGCCCCTTTGGGCGTTGGACTCCTCAATGGAAAGCATGCTGCCAGCCATTGCCTCGCCTCCCAAACTTGTGCATGAGGGACACCAGTACTTGTTTTACTACGAAGGAAGCCCAACAGAAGCCAGTCATTTTCCGTGCCCCTATGATTTCAACAAGCTCATATTGAGGAACCCCTAAGGATGTTTCGGCCCGCTTTACTGGACGGCACGAAGGTTGCCGAGCGACACCACCAGGTTGTCCACGAACTCCATGTACCTCAGTACTCAACGGGAAGCGGGAAGCACACGGAAAAACAGCCAAAGGCCCCCCCTCACGACCCAAGAACGTTTCTGAGAGCTTAGAGGGGCTGCTCAGAAGGTTCTTCAAATATTGCCAGGCTTGGTGCGGCGAGTTGATTCATAGGCGTCGCCCGGCCCCAGTTCGGGGCACCGTCACTGTTAGGGAAGCACAAGAAAGGGGCCCATCAACGGCTTGAACACGTTTAAGCCACGATTGTTTAAACACATTCTGCCCCACTCTGGAAAGCACTCCCCTGCAAAATCTGCAAATCCTTCAGGTCGATTACTCCGCCAACATTCGGGTTCACATCTGGTCCAACCGCTGACTTGAGTCTTGACGCTCATCCTCCCTTTGCGTCCCTAAGAAAAGGAGATGTCCAAGCCGAAAGGAGAGGGTGCAATCCGCACACCTCAACAGAAGTTCTTCCTACCAGTGTAAGAAAAAAGTGGACGCTGCGCAGAAAGGTTTCGCAATTTCATCCAGCTCAGTCATCCAATCCCCCCCGGTCCCCGGCCGAAAGTGCAGAGCCTTCTGCCCCATGCGAAAAGTCCAGGTATGGTGCAAGTGAGTCATTCAATCATAAGGGGTCATTTGGCTCTGGCTGAAAAACAATGTACCAGAATGGCACCTTGGTAAATGGAACCAAAGACTAACACCTGCGAATCCCAGTTCGTTAAATTTGAGCCACACCCGTTTGGGGATTGCCCAAGGAAACAAACCCCTCTGAAAACCGGGCCGTGTTTCGTTCGCCTCGCCCGACAACACCCCCCCCCAAAAAAAAAAAACACACGCGCTCCTCTGGATTCCACTGAGGCCGGTCTGCGTGCGTGCGTTCGAGCGAAGATCCAGGGGGGTGGCTTTGGGCCAACGTGAAGCGAGCAGTTCCACGCCACCTTCGTGGGTTTGTCCCAAAAGTCTGGACACGGCCAGAGGTGGGTTCCAAATTTGGCTTCCATTCAATACCCGCAATAGGTAGTATCCAAGAAACAAACGCGGTCAAGAGATCACCTTTCCCTCTTGGTGTTCGTCGGACCGGCACTTCAAAAACCGCCCAAACCTGTTGAATCGACCGCCTTCTTGTTTCCCTCGGGTAGGCAAAGGGGCAGTTGTGCTTTTCTTGGGGAGGCAAAAGGGGGCGTTGTGCTTCCCTTGCGAAGGCCAAAGGGGCATTTTGCTTTTTTGGGGTGGGCAAAAGGGGTGTTGGGTTTTTGTTGAGGAGGCAAAACGGGCGGTTTGCTTCCCTGGTGGTGGAGGCAACTTCTTTTGGGTAGACATTGTGCTTCCCTTGAGGAGGCAAAAGGGGCGTGTTGCATTTTTTGGCGGGCAAAAGGCGCAGTTGTGCTTCCCTTGGGGGCGGGCAAAAGGGTAGTTTTGCCGGCTTCCACGAATTCACCCACCAACTCCCTGGAACCACCCCGCAGCCGAACGAAAAAAAAATGGGGCGTCGGGGCGCTGGAAGGGAGGTCGCCAGGCGCCGTCGCAGGTGTACTGCAAGCGCCCGCCGCCGCACAAGGAGACCCGCACCGTGCTGTGGCTGCGCACCTCTGCGGCTGGGTCCATCCCCGTCGCCGCGGCGTATCGCGGTTTTGTTTTGGGGGGGGAAGGTGCCAACGGGGGGGGGGGGGGGTGAGTTAAGTAAGGGGAAATCGAGAAGCTATCATGTTCAAGATCCTCTTTTGGCACAAAGTGTCGAATGTTCTAAAAAGATGTTCTTTCAGAGCCACCCAAAATGAATCAATGTGATGAACAAAGGACAATTGCTCTCTCCACCTCCCCCCGCCTTCCCCCTCTTGTGACATCCAAGCCGGGCATGGGTCTGCCCACTGAAGGGAACAAATGTTGGATGGTGCAGGGAAACAAAAGGTACCCACCAAAGGCCCATCTGTTTGGACAAACAGCGCCCATCTGGCCGTTGATGCAAACGTTTGGGGTATCCATTTGCGTTTGGTGCACCACTGTAAGGGTCAATAAAAGGGGTGAAGGAGTAAACACCAACCTGCATCAAACAACAAGTCACCTGATCAAACAGTTTGTGGGAGCCAACAAGCACTCACTTTCCAACAGAATAGGAACATGTACTGTTTTCGGGCACGGGTCAGCAAGGGGGTGGTTTGGGGTAGGCCTAGGATTCGCTCAGTTTTCGGTTGGATGAATTTGCGGCAAACTTTGGCGGGCTTCATCACTTTGGGGAGGGGAGCTCAAGGTCGGCTCTGGGCACGCCAAAGCTGCAGCCACCCCTCTGCAAATAAGCATGCAAGGGGTCCCCCAAGCGGAAATTCCTGTAAAACGTGTGTCTCTTCTTTGGCTCCACGTCGTACTTTGCCCCATCATGGCACCTCCTGATCAAACAAAAAGCAACACTAAACCTACCTGGAGCACCGAGAATTGTGCCGGCGTTCCTTCCCCACCGACTCCGAGGGCCCGGGTTTGGATCCACCACGACCTCGGCGAGCTCCGCGCCAAGCGCCTCTTGGAACTTCACCCCGATGCCCGCGAAGCAGGCCAGCTCCTGCAGCTCGGCGCGGCGGCCGTCGGCCTCCACCCGGACCTCGAGCCACTCACGGAGCCACTCCCAGAGACCTTCCCGTCCACATGGAACCCCGCCCAAAAATCGCCCCTTTTAGAGGAAAATGGATGGCCATGCACCATTGATGTTAACCCCGGATTGATAGGCCCCTGGCTGATTTATAGGGGGGGGGTCCCCCTTTTAGTGGGGATTCATCATTTTGGAGAGAACACTTTTGGAGGGAACATTACTTTCCCGTCCGCCAACATGGGTCCCTTTTGGACGAAAACTGTCTTTCAGGATCTGTCAGCCTATGTTCGTGGTGCAGCCACATTCTTGGGGCCCTCTGCAAGAAATAGCTGCACATCCAACTGTCACATACTTTGTGGGTGTCTTTCTGATGTTCCTTGAAAACAAGGATGTCGGGTGAATCCTTGTCAGGAGCGATGACGAAGGAAACCGTTGCAACAGGATTCCGCATATGAGTGCAGCAGCATGTGTCAAGAAACCCGGCCAAACACCAGAGCAGCTTGCTCTCAACTACAAGAAAACCCTTCTCCCCTTCTCCACACCTGAGGTGAGAACACGCCATTGGTTAGAAGGAGGGGCACCACTCGAATTAGAATCTAGTCTTGTGGGAAAGCGCAAGGCCAGCAAACATGTCAATGTGACGAACCCACGCTTTCTCGGGGGGGGTCAGCCCTTTGTCACGTGCCTAATGCTCACTTTCAGCTCCTCAAGGAGCTGGAACCTGAAAAAGGGAGGCCAACTTTGGGGGACTTCATGAAAAGGGGACCAAAAGCAGGCAGCCAAAAGGTGAAAGGGCGTGCATGTGGCCTTCAAAGCAACTGGTCGGACCTTCGGCACCTTGGCTTTGCAGGATGTGGGCAAGTGCTCTAAATCTGCAAAAAGCAAGGGGCCAGGCACTCGCCTACAATGAATGAATCTACATGCCACGTGGTTGCACCTAGAGGGAACACAGGCCAAGACATATATGGATATGAATGCCATGCGTTACTGGTTGAATCAAGGCGCAATCGGCGAATTATACAAGTAGTGTGGAGCAAGGATGAAGACTCACTGTATACATCCGCGAACAGCTAAAGCGATCTTATCCATGAAGAAGATGAGATGGGTGTCCTTTGAATTGGCGAATTAAAGAAAACAAGCACGCAAACACGCGCGCACACACACAAAGGCACACTGGCGTGTTCACTTATATCTATCTGTATATACATAGACATGCGAGTATGTACGAGTAGCTCACGACGATGCCTCGGTTCCACCGGTGCACTGCAACACAAGCAGGGGTGTCTGTTTGCCACTTTTTTCCAGAAAATTGGCGACCCCCTCAAAAAGGAATCCTTGACTACGAGGGAGTCGATCATTTTTCCACAAAAGGTGGCAAAAAGACACCCCTGAACACAAGTGGCATGGATTCGATGTTGCGACACACCAAAACACCTCGGAGCTTCTGATGGGAGGCCTTTCTGCTCAGCTCCGGCCACTCCACCGTGCCATCCTCTCGAGCGAGCCCGCTGAAGCCCCAACATAGCCCGTATCTTGGGGATAGCATTTTGGGGAGCTGTAAAGGGAAACCAAAAGGAACACCACGCATTTGGGGCGGGGGGGGAGCTCCCCAAGAGACACACCCATTTCAAAACGGGCTTAGTTGAGCCAGCGGCTGGATCCCGTGGCAAACAAATCCAACCGTGTCTGTACACTTCTGGGTAGGTACCTCTGGTTTTCCCTCTATGGTGGTGTACCCCTTGCGTACCCTGAATTCACGGGTGCCTAGGCGGTCCGGACAAAAAAGAGAGTGACATCTTGCAGACCAAGCGACAAATCCTTAGACTCAAAGTTGTCTTGTGAACAAGGAACAACCAAAAGATGCTGCTACAATGTGGTTGGATGACTTTTGACCGTACTTCTGGGATCCGGCATCTTTTTGATATATACACATGTACAGGCAGAATATGCGATTGCAGCTACAATCGAATATATATATATATAGATACATATGTATATATTCATAGAATGATGTACGTACATACGTGTATATTATATATATAGGTATATACTATACATGCATTAAATACCTATATAGATTTATACATAAAGGATCAACAAGGGGCACGCAGCTGAGCATCGAAAGCAAAGCGTCGGACAAAATCAAAACTGGGAGGCCTGAGGCCCTTGAAGCAACAGGTCGTCCAGGGCCTTCCCCCCGGTGCTTCAGACAAAATGAAGAGATTCCATGGGATCCCCAGAAAAAGGTTTCCACACTTGCAAAAAGACCATTTGGTTCCTAACACGGCCCCACCTGCTCATTCGTCCCCTCCAGGTCCAGACTCAATCCCAAGAAAACTCAGTAAGCGCTCTGAACAGGAAGGGGGAGTGGGCCTTGCCAGCACGTCTGGTTGCATTCCAGGGCTCTCCACAGCCCTTAAAAGATACATGAAATCATGTGCCCAATCGAGAGTTCAGGCTGCGGGATTCCCGATGCAACCGGCAGACGGGATGGTCACCTACTGATTGAAGTGAGTTGGTTTCCCTGATCCCCTTTTGCAAAGGAGCGCCAAAACACATGGGCATGTGTCAAAACACCAGGGACCCAGACAATGGATTTTGGTTTGCCGGATGTTGTCGCATAGAAAGCGTAGCGATCCCTCTTGCCCCTCCTCCTCAAAGGTCATGTGCCGGCAAGGCAGCTGCCAGACTCCGTTCAGCGCCTCAATCCGACGCGGCGATGCTCCAAGCAAAGTTGGAGGCCAAGTGGAGGGAACTCAGTGTGCATTCTGGAGGCTTGTAGCTTCCAACTCAAGGGGGCCCGACAGTGGTTGCCTTCGGATGCGCATTCTTGCTAAGGTGGACACGAGGCCCAAAAAGGAATATGCGAGGCAAAGCTAGGTTGGAGCCGGCTGGGTATTGATCGCAGGATAAACGCGGGGGCAGAATCAAACTGGCCTGGCTCTCACTCATGGTGCGCACGCGGCCAGCTCGAAAACAGGCCCAAGCTCCCATGCCCCTCATCCTGCTTGCGTACAATAGTGCATATTAAGGCAGCGCAGGCCAAGATTGCTGCGCAAATGCAGGTGAATCGCACGGCAGGTGTTCCACTGGCAAAACGATTTGCACGCCTGCTCAAGTGTCTCTGTTGGAAGTGCGCCAGCACCACCTGCATCATGAATATGCTTACTGTTGCTTTGCCATGCCTTATCAAAGGGAGGGTTGGCTACAAGGGAACGAGGGAATCCAAGGTTGTCCCAAGACAAACTCCCAACTCCCAACTCCTAGCAGTGTATTTTTCTGAGGCCAACTCTGCCATAAAAGTGATGCATGATGCCGTCAACAGGGGACCTATAGGGACCTCTGGTCTTTGGGCGCCACATGCCGAACCCCCCCTGGCGATTCTAGAATTCGTGCCGGGGCTCGCATTGGAGCTGACCCCCCAAAGGCTTCACCTCCACCTGTTCGCCCTCCAGGCTGCAGAAGGCCACTCGGGTCCTGAGTGGCAAGACTTTCCGGAAGAAATCAGCAGGCAGCTCAAGGAAAAGCGCAGTTTGACCCTTGAGGACCCAGAAGCTCAACCTTTGTGCGCACCTGGGTTCCATTTATGAACAAAGCTCCTGCGGTCAAAAGCTCGGCCTTGGGCAAGGCAAGTAGGGCAATCTCGCCCATATACTTGGGCGAATTTCTGGTAGATGGTTTCTTAGACTGGGAAACCACCGAAATCTATTTGGAAAAGGATCGAAATGGATTTTGAAGCCAGCTCGAAAAGCTGGACGTCTACCATTGACTATTCAGCATGTGTAGTCATCTTTTAGCTGGGTTGTTCCGGATCCGGGTGAATGCAAATCACACAAAGTCTACAAACGCCACCTCGTTTTGGACCTTTTGCATGGTCTTCCGCCTTGAATTCCAGTTTACAGGTTTGCCCTCCTCCTAATCCGTAAGTTGTAGTGGGACACCACTCAAAAGAGGAACCCACTTAATCTATCTGGCAAAACGATGGACGGTTGATTTTTAACAACCCGTATTGTCAAAAGAAAAACTCAAAGAGCACGAATGAAATTGGCCTCAGGGGGGGGTGAAGATGCGGGAACCCAAAAAGGGGCAGGATAAATGCGTAGAACAGCAACCGCCAATTTCTCTCGGGACACCAAGTTGCCGTGTGATGGCTTAATCATGGGAAATCAGCCCCAAAAGGGTCCGACATAGCCATGGGTTCATACATACTAATATGTTGGAGGCCCCAGCTTTTTGGCAACAGCTCAGGGGGAAGATTGTGGGGCTGTAACTGCAAAATGTGGGAGAACAGAAGAGGTTGCCAGAAGTCCACGGCTCGATTTGAGCAGGCCCACGCGTTGGTTGTACCTCGCTACAAAGGTTTCATATACCCACACTGCAATCCCAAAAGTCAGGTAGTCCAGCCGCTAAAATGGGCCAACTCTCAGGGGGTTCAGGACGGCCTCTGCTTGCCTTGCTTTTTCCCAAACCTGGCCAACTAACTCCAAATTGCAGGCAAGGCGTCATCCTTTCTCCTTCCAGCACTTGGCCCTCTTGCCCGCCATGGCTGCACAGCTTGAGCCAACACTGCTACTGGTCTGTGGCGGACACGTCCAGTCGGGATCTGTTTCCAGATTTCCTTTTTTGTTTCCCTTTTTGTGGTGCAACAACCCCAACAAGCGGCACCCACACAACCGCAACCACAGCAACCCAACACACGAGGGACGCCCAATAAACCGGCACCAGCAAGGGGGTTCAACGGCTTCTCCGTGGTTTCTCCACCCACGGAGCGGGATCCCTTGGGCGACCCCAAAGCGCGCGGCAAGACGTGTGGGAACTTGCATAGACCTTCCCGGGTTCGCTTGGGCTTACACCCAGGCGAACATGCAACCTCCCATGAACCCATTCGAAGACTTGCTTTTTTTCACCGAGGTTTTCTGGGAGCTTCCGGCTGTTTGTCAGAGGGAGTGTATGTTCTACAGGTCGCCGTTCCCCTCGAATCCGGCATGGTTTCCTGGCACCAGTGGCCGCACAAGAAACATGGAGACAGCACGGACAGGGGGGATGCTACGTATTCTACCCCACGACCCTGTACACATAACAAAAAACCATCTTTTCCCGGTTGGAGGAGACGAGAGGGGGAACACTCTCCTATCAATCTACAGGGTTGCTCAAAAAGCGAAGCCTGATCCTGTGAAATAAACCATCCAAGAACCATCAAAAGCCCACCTTAAGCTTCCCTCGCTTCTGCAAACGTTAGGGGCTGCATCCCTGATTCCTTGGTGGACAAACCAGGTCTTGTGCCCTACCGCGATTGCACACACAGCCTCCCTCACCACCTTTTCGGGCTCTATGGCTTGCCTCGAACCCCAGACATTGCGCCAATGCCTTTGGAAAGTCCCTCTCGGTCCCAACATGGAAGCCCTAGGACACTGTGCCGAAAAAAGAGGCGTCTCTCTCTCTCCGCGGTGTTCGGCTGGAGTCTTCTTATCCGCATCAATGCCGGCGACGGAAGGGTCGACAAGCCGGGAAACCGGCCTTGAACCTGTTCCACATGGCCTCAGGCGTGGAATGGAGGGGTGCAACTGGAGCAAAGGGAGAGCCACATGGTAAAGCTTTGGAGGCCTCCAGGGGCCCAAACTGGAAACCCAAAGGGAGAGCCTCAGGCAAATTCCAAATTTCGGCTTTTTTCGAACTTCGTGCTTCTCCTGTGGGCCAAGGCCGGCCTGCATCAGACTTGGCATGGTTCAACATGTTGTTTGCTCCTTGAGCTCTCTCCAGCCTTTCAACATGCTTTGGGCTCAGGTATTGGGAGAGCCACCCATGAAATGAATTTGCCAAATGGAGGACCAGTGGCACCTGGCAGCTAGGGTTTGGTTGGCAGCACCCAGCTGCAAGAAAATAGCCAGCCCCTATTTCCTTGTGTCGCAAATCAGCCTGACGACCAATCGGAGAATGGGTTGCCTGAAGGTTGGCGTTTGTGCCGCTTTGACTGTTCAAACATGACAACCGCTTGAAGCCCATGCATATGTATCGAAACCATGACGTGTAAGGAACCTCTCAGGTGTATGGCAAACATCTCTTGGGATCTGTCCAAGCTCCTACGGCGTTATATCCTGTACTGCGTACTTCGAGCCTGGCTGTTGATGCGAAGGGATGATGAAGCAATTATGCTGTCTATGTGGGGGTTTCGCAAAATAGGGGTCCCTTATAATGGTCGCTACAAGGGGTCCACCATTTGGAGAAGCTCCCAAAAACCCAGGCTGGCAGGCAAACCTTTGGAGGCCATGCCGGGGCCAAACTGGAAAACCAAATGGCAAAGCTTTGGGCAAGAGGGCTTTTTTTCCTATGCCCATGTTGCCAAGCTCGCGTCGGCTTTCATAAAATCCATCTCAAACCACGTGCCCGCCTTTGTCAAATTTGCATTGCCCCCTCTTGGGCCATGAGGGGGGGCGTGGGAAATGATTGGAATCCGAGCCCAGCGTTTCTGCCACGGCCCACTTGGCTAATAAGTTCGCCAAGTGCCAAGCAGCACCGCGCTCATGGTCGCCCAAGCGCTGGATGGCGAAGCTCTCTCCAGGCTGCGACCCCCGGAATCCGTCTGAAACATAGAGTAGGCCGCCAAAAAAATGTGTTTAATACTTCTCGGTTCACAAACTAACTCCATTACAGTAATGACGTCTGGTGAGGTTCCCCACCTCATTTGGTTGCGATCCGGTCTGGTTTCAGAAAACCTCTTTTGAGGCCCTCAGAAGGGGCAGGTACGGGTGCGAAAAGCCACGTTCGGAATGACTCAACTGCCCAAACCCGAAAACATGTTAATGAACCTCCCAACAATTACCTGAAGGCGTGGCGTGTCAAGGGGCCACTGTGCAACTCAATGTTCCATCGTGCGCCCATTCACCAAAACCAACATATGTTTCATTGTGGTCTTTACTTGAGGAACCTTAAGAAATATAGTTTGAAACATAGTCATTTCCACAGAGATCAACCTGTGAATCCCTGACCCATCGCCACTAGCCGAGCTGTCGCCCATTTGAGCAGGAAAAAGACTCGCAGCACATCTGTTTGGAGTCGTCGCACTTGAGGCTTCAACGGGAAAAAAAAAAAAACGGGCACCCACCCTCCACAATTGCAAGGACTATCCGTGTCCGTCCGAGTCCACAGTTTCATTTCTGAGCTCTTTTGGTCAAGCTGGGTGAACTTGTGCGATCCGTCACAAAATGTTCAGCTAAGGCAAAAGTTGACTCACAGGACCTTTGGGTTTCCGCAAAACTTCCTTAGGTTCCAAGGTCTACGAGTGGAAAGCCTCCAACTTCGGAAGCCTTGAGGCGCTCGTTTTTGCTGGCCATGCATTTGAGCCCATGGGATATGCCAATCTACCAATCCATGAAGTGAATGGGGCCGGGAGGCAACTCCTCAAATATTGGCAACCGAAAGGCGGGGTAGTTTGCAAGGGCTCAGCAACAAAGAGGACTCCTACCTGGCACCCACTGTCCAATGGGAGGTAAAGCCTCCGATTGGTACTTGTACTCCTTCAACCAACTGGCTTTAAACAGTTCGACTTTGCCTAGCGAAATCAACGTGTGCGCCCGCTTCAAAACATGTCCGCCAGGACCCTTGAGCTGAGGTTTGCCCGCTCCCCAATGTCCCCGGCCGCTCCCGCACTCTAAAGGGTGTCTGAAGGCCAACATAAAGCCTAAAAGTTGGTGGTGGGGTTAGCATGAACCCTGCAAGGTGTCAGGGGGCCAACATAAACCCTAAACAGTGTTGATGCGGCCAGCATAAACCCAACACAATGTTGGTGGGCCCAGCATAAACCGTCATAGACCCTGAAAAGTGTCAGAGTTAACATAAACCCTAAACACAACATAAACCCTAAAAGGTGTTGGTGGGGCCAACATAAACCCTAACAAGTGGTGGTGGGGCCAGCAAAAAAACCCAAAATGTGGTGGGCCACCACGAGAAACCCTAGAAGGTGTTGATGGGGCCAACAACACCCCTACAAGGTGTTGGTGGGGCCCACATAAACCTTAACAGGCGTCAGTGGCGGCAACATAAACCCCAAAGGGTAGGCGGGGCCAACCTTAAAACAGTGTTGGGGGTGGGCGAACCTCGGGGTTGGGACCAACATGTCTATTCCGTTTCGCATGGTTTCAAGGACCCTGAATCTCAGCAGGACGAAAACCAATCTTGAGCAGCAGCGCTATGAACTTTAAGACTTCACGACGAATGCTTGCCCGAGGGCCAGGGAACACAAGGTAACGGATTCAAGGGGGTTCGTTTTTTGGACAGAAGCACGGCTCTCGCCTTCCAAAATGCATCGACCGCGTGGCTGACCAAGCCCAATATCCTCTTCAACCGCTTGTTGCCTCTAGTTTGGCCTTCCCCCGAAAAAAAGTTGATCAGCGAGGCCTTGTGGCCACGATCGCATCGCCCTGCGTCGCACGGCTTTTCCCCTCCGGCCGGCTGCCGCAAGGCTGTCGCGAATTCCCGAATGCCCATTGAGGCTGTTGCCTCAAAGTCGCCAGATTTCCCCTAAAGAACCCAGAAATACAAGGCTCACCTTTTGGGAAGGAAACTGAAAAGTCAACAGATCGTCTTTGGGAAGCTAACATGTTGCACTGGTTGCGGGGTAAAGCTGCAACTTTCGGAGGTCACATGGAGTGACCCCTGCCTCACTCGCCTAAGTGGCAACTTGGCTGGTGAAACACATCCCTTGTTGCAATACCAAAGTTGGCCGTCCCCCATGTCCTGAGGTGATATCACAAGAAGTCCCATGTTTCAACCATGGACCAGAAACACACTGGTCAACATGGGTCAAGCAAAACATTCTGGGTTATATGTGGTGAAGGTCTCGTTTTTGCCATGGCTCGCTACCAAAAGAGCAGTTATCACTGTCTCAAGCAGAAAGTGTTGGGTGACAATGTTCAAAGATGTTCAATCAGGTCCCCAACCTCTGAAATTCCCACTCAAATGTTCAGGTGTGCCCCAGTCACACGTGGGTGCGACCACGCGGCCGATGCGTCACTGCTGCTTCGCCCTTTTCTTGGCGTCTTTGGCCGCTTTGCGAGCTTTCGCCAACTTGTACTCCTCGCGTGTGAGCCAAGGATCCATTGCCTTAAACAAGTGGAAGCTGTCTGCGTCACTGTTGGCCACCAGTGTCCACATACGAATACAAAGCCATGCATTCAAGCCATATCAAGGAAAGTCGTGGAAAGATTGTGGGTTCTCAATAGCTTTGGGTAGTCACAAGTCGCAATAGCCCATAGCTCCTTTGCTATGCGTCTTGAAATGCGAGGGCAATGGTGAAAGAAACCCGCAAAGGCAAAACTTGCTGGTGCTCAGTAGGGGACGACCTTGCCCGGGTGTTCTGCTTTTTTTGGGGTCATTCCATTTCTCATTCCCTGCGAACCAGCAAAACGGCTGGTTAATAGGTTCTCGGCTTGGTTGACGTTGGCGTACCACCAAAAACAAAAATGTTTCCCAACAACAACCATGTCGACCCGTGAAAAGCCCATCGCGTCCTGCTCCTCGAGCAGGGGCTTGGCGCACTTCTGGTACGCCAGGCATGCCAAGGTCAGACCTGCGCATGACGCT